ATTTTTCATGTTTTTTAAATAAAAACATTTTTACTTATATAACTAATCACATTTTAACTAATGAAAAAAATAAAATAACATTTAAAATTAATAAATTTTATATTAAAATTATAAAATAACATTTATTTTAAAACGAAATTTTTAATTCTAAAATGACATCTAATATGAAACGGGATGGATATATAAATTGAAGTACTTTAATGTAACGGTCAAAGAACTCTTATTATTTTTGTAAAACGTGATTCTTGATTAGTTTGTCAGAGAATCGATTTTTGTATAGTGTAATTAATTAATCAAGGACAATTCAATCAAGGTACTCAATAATCAAATATTGGATCCGTCCTCTTTTTCTAGCTTATATACACATCTCGATCTATAAATACCAACCATGTTTACAAATTTTTATTTATATCTTTCTATTTTAATTTTTTGGTGTCTTCAGTCAACGTCTCATGTTTTTTTAACAAGTTGCTGATTATTTAGGTAACTGATTTACATACCATATATATCATTTATTCCAATGTAATAGCATATTATAAAAAATAGCTGGACCAATTAAAAATAATAATCTTGAAGAGTATCATTCTATGGAACAATAAAAAAAAGTAAAATTAAAACCCTCATTAGTCATTAGTTACTTCTTAAAAAAAACCTTTGGCAAAGTGGTTAGCTTCATATGCCTTATTAAGTAGGAGATTCAACACAGTTCTATGTCTATGAATCTCTCACGGCATTCTTCGTTATTTCATTATTCGGTTTGCATACGTAACTCATGAACTTCAATTCTCAAATGTTGGTTCTATACTATATCTGGAAGTATCGAACCGATAAGACTTACTATCTAATAGATAAGCATGTTTAGTAGACCAAACTCAGTTTCTGGCAATGTTTTAAAAACCGGACCGGACACCGACTCGGCGTATTCACTGGTTGACTGGTCGGATCGGTTCAACCGGTCGAACCGGGGTTTTAATTTATAATATATATATATATATATATTTATTTATTTATATATAATCATTTATATATATGTATCTTCATTCTCTTTTAATTATTGCTTCAACTGAAACTGAAACATTTGCAGAGACCTTGGTAGTTATTCCTATGTTTTCTCTTATCCCTTCTAAATGTTGTTTCATTATATTGTTTCCTCCACCTCCACTCTCTTTGTTACAAAAGTCACAAATCAAGTTCGTTTCCCATTAATCTTAGTCCGTTCCGTTATATATCTCCATACTATATCTCTTTTATGATGAACTAAACTTTGAAAAGAAGGTAATCCAACATCTGGTTCGTTCTTTGAATCGTTCCCCTCCATTAATGAGACATAAGATGATTTGAGCTTTTTCTGAAAATAGAAAACAAACTGACGGCTTGAAATTATTAGGTTATTAACATATTTGCTTATTATAAAACCCTAATTAGAACAAACGAGAAAAGTAAAATTTCATCAAATATATAAAACCGGGTTTGAATGCTGAACCGAGTCACCGGTTCTTCCGGGTTTGAGCCGAGTTTTCCGGTTTTAAGCAATCCCGAGTTTTGGATCAAACCGGACTCGTCTTGCCCATTGAGTCACGGTCCAACCGGTCGGACCGGCCGGTCCGGTCCGAGTTTCAAAACCTTGGTTTCTGGCAACACAAATTCTCCACGCCTCCGAGACATCTTGCCACTCTTCTAGTTTCCAAGCACGCATGACTCACATTAATTAGCTCGAGTTTTTCTTCTCAAAACTATCTGATTTAAAAAAAATAAAAAATCTTTAATCTCAATTTCTTTTCCACTCCATCTTCATGAAAATATTATTGTTATCGAGTAGTTATATTTAATATTTGAAAACTAGTGGATGCTAAAACTTTGTTTTGAGTGATCCTATGTTGATTTTGTTTCAAAGCAATTGCGTTGACCTTACGAACGTTAACCTATAAAAAACACTAACCGGATTAGTGAAAGTAATTTGTCCATTTCGGGCAACGTTGTCACTATTGATCTCATCGCACTCACCATTTTTAGCAACCGTAATTTATTTAATAAATCCTTTTTTTATAATAAGTCCTATATATTTAGATATCACACCCTGGTTTTGATATCTCGGCACTTGCAGTAGAAAAATTGATAAATCACAAGTAGATCTATTAACTCCACCACGATAATGGTTTATAAACAACTATGAAAATATCTGAAGTACATTGAATTAAGATCAAACACTTTACATAATGCCTACCATAACTAATATTTTATAATATCACTGAAAATCGAATAATTTTGGATGCTTGCCACTAATTTAAAGAAAGAGAATCACAATGGAAAGTTATAGACAGTAAAAGACATTTCTAATTAACCTTAAACTTAAACATCACTAGTGAATAGTGATGTATACTTCTTTCTTTCTGCCTATTACTATATTTGAATATATTTAAATATTTTGTTTAATTATAGTTAGTTATACCTCTATTACCTCACACGTATCTTCCACTGCGTTGCACACTTGGATTCCAAAATAACATAATGGCCTGGCGTGAGCATTACTGAATATATAAAACATTAATCAAGTCACGAAAGAAAATCTATCCACGACAAATCTTTTGTATATATCATCAAGTTCTTGCTTTGATATATAATCGAATGTCAATATATACCAAAGGACCAAAACAGCGATAAACAGTTTATCTAATATATAAGATTAAACATAATATATCCTAATAAGAGTATGATGAGAAAACTGGGATTATACATACATTTATAATTTCGAATTATTTCCTCTTTTTCATGGAAAAGATAATAATAATGTCAATTCAGCCATGAGCCATGTAATATCATGTGATAGGTGCACCCACGTGACTGTATGCTAAATATAAACATTACGACAGCTGGTACGGTTAACCCTACGATGTATGTTGTGGAATGTGGTCCTTTGTCCAAAACACATACGAGTCCAAGTTTTTTTTGGGTTCAAGTACTTGTATTTGTTGGCTCCATAAGAACAACAAATAAACATCTTTTATCTATATATATTATCACATATTCTCGTGTTTGCTAGAAAAAGAATTAGTACCAAAAGACAATTCTTAAAATATTTCATTCGGTGGCCGTTTCTAATCAATACTAAGATTAAAAAATAATGTTATCCAATTATTTTGCAAGATTGGTATACCTTCCATATTTTGGTAGAAATGTACCGCAATATTACCATTTAGAATTATGCTAAATTGCTAATACAAAGTGCCGGTCTTGAGTACAGTCAAATAAAATACTGAATTTGGATCTCAAAAATTTTAAGAATTGATATAAATGCACATAGGCTCTCAAATTATTTTTGTGCACGACAAAATTTTATTAATAAATTGCTTATGACCCTCAAAATTTTGGAACCGACCTTGCTAATACCATATATGACGTTCCTCTTCTAAGTTCTAACCAAAGTTTGCCACTGATCCCAAACCAACGGCCCTAGTGATAAATGCATGAGAGCTTTCACGAGACCACTCTTGCTGGGCCAGAAGTTTTCCAACACTATAGTTAACCGAAGACCAATAATGTTCGATGAGTACATAACGTTAGCTTAGATGTATTATAGGGTTTACTTTTTGTCTGAAAATGCGACCAAACATAGCTTTAATAATTTTCTGAAAAAAATCAAATACTTTACATACGGCCAAATTATTTTTGGCCCATGATATCAAAAGGAATAAGATCCTTATCCTAATTAAATTACGAGACAATAATTGAAATTGTAAACTTATTTGAAATATTTTTCTTAAATGCATTTATTCATGTCATTGTGTATTTATTCGTACGTGTTATCGTTTTCGAAGCTGCAACTAGTTTTGTCATCATATGTGATGACTGATGAATGCCATGATGGAAAATCACATCGGAATTTTATAAGACGTGGCGCGATTTAAATGGTGATGGATGACCAATGTACCAGCAACAATATCATGGCATATCTCTAGAATCCAACATTGATACGTATATGTAGAGATATCAAAATATAGTATATACTATATGGTATAGATAAAGACACATTTATGTATGCTTCTTCAGATGCATTGCATTATAATTAATTTTTGTTCGACTTGTTCACCAAACAATTATCCGGATATAATAATTAGTTTATCAACATTAAATATTCTGAGAAAGTATTTTAAATAGACAGAAATGTTTAGGATTAGTTGAACTTACCCTAAAACATCGTACGGACTACGTAGAAAGTGTTTTTAGTTGATCTCACTAAAATTTCATATTGTAAACGACTCTTTTCTATATATAAATAAAGTAAATAACATAGGCTTAAATGTTCAAAAACTAAAATAATAACATGACTATAAATCACTTTGAATTGCAGTAGTGTAACATGTAATTAGGGATATTTTAAAATCAATAATTGTGCTTACTCAATTTTTTCTCTCTCAGCGAATTATTGATTATTGTACTGGTGTGTGATTATTAAGGATTGGTCAATTCAATAATTAATTGAAAGACATGCAATGTTTTCGGCTTGTCGTCGGTTAGGTTTCATTTAATCATTTCAGTTCTTTTCTTTCAATCAACTTAAAATTTCTCCTCCGTTCCGTTTCCAATATTTTTTTCTTGTTCAAAATTTTGTTTAAAAGATATGTAAAATGTGGAAAGTCCGATAGTATTTAGCCGCCTAAAACATTTTAATACATCACTACAATAAATTCTGTAAAGTTATTACAAAATATATAAACCTTAGCACTCAAAATTTTGTGTGTTTCTAGCCATGACAAATACGACTGTGTATGGCTTCATACATCTGTAATTCTGTATATCATGGAGAAAGCTAACACGTTTCGAGGGCAAACAAACCCATATACAATATGACTGATAAATGCCGGTATTTTTTTAAAAAAAATGTTGTGCTGGTATTAGCGAACAAACCGAATCAAACTCTATTTTCGTTGTTGTGTCCGGTCTCCCCAATACCATTTTTTGTTGGTATAGTGAAATTCATACCGTAAGTTAAAACTATTTTTCTATTATGGCCCGTGAGTCCGTGACCCAAAGGCTTACAAAGAGTGATATTCTCTGAAACATTGGCAGAAACAAATGAAAACAAGCTTGTGTTGTCTTTCATTTTCTACGACATGCGCAGAGTAAAAAATGAGGTAGAAAAGAATGGATGTTGGTGGGGGTATAAAGTGTGACACTGTACCAAGTACGAGAAAAAACTAATGGAATCTACATTAAAAAGAAGCATTTTCAAATATATCTTCCTTATGAATATGTTGCTATGCGTGTGTACTTATCTATTTCGTGACCGGGAAAGTTAAATCCATGAGAGGCTGACATCTGCATTTGCAAGTCTCGGGGCCAAGGAGTACGGAGCTCCTCTAGAGCTGATAGGTCTCGCTCAGGAGACAATGGAGAATTCTTTATAGGGAAGTGATGAGACCAGTTTGGTTTGTGCATAGACATGAGCAGTCAGGCTCAGTGGAGTTTCTTAGGACAAGGCGTTTGTCACGGTTACTCATTAGCTTGATAAGTGGTAGCTTCTGTGAGACTTGACGCCAAATCTCCTTCACTGCTCCATTCGGGTCCCCATAGTCAAAATACCTTCTTACCTGTATGCGTTATCATCATTAAGGTACAAGAAACGTCTCATCTAAAACATGTAAAATAACCTAAGAGGAGAAGGTACCGATTTCATCTCTCTCTGATACTCCAATATCTTCTTCCTTCCTATCTTCCTCAGCTTCTTAACGAGAAACCCAGGCTTCAGGGCCACATTGGACTCAACAAAGATCGAAAACTTTCTGTAATCTATAACATCTTCAAAAGGCAACTCAATGCTATCGCTGACAATCACGGGCACACACAAGCTAACAATAGAGTCAAAGAGCCTGCAAGCGGATGGAGTATCACCAGCAGGGTTTAGACAAAACTTTGAAGTATGCATTCCTTTCGTAGCAGCTCGTCTGTTCTCTCTTGACTGAGTTCCATGTTTTATCGTCACATCTCCTTCCTTTTCAAGAACTTGAAATAGCAAATCACGAACTTTCCCACCCTGACGACACCAACAATAGCATTAACACAAAGAGACAATAACAACTCTCTGTTTCTTGTAATAACTTTAACTACCACTCTGCTCTCAAGTTTCAACCTTTATCAAAACCCCGCAAAGGATACCAACAATAGCATTAACACAAAGAGACACTAACAACTCTCTGTTCCTTGTAATAACATTAACTACCACTCTGCTCTCAAGTTTCAAGCTTTATCCAAACCCCGTAAAGGAGACCAACAATAGCATTAACACAAAGAGACAATAACTCTGTTTCTTGTAATAACATAACTACCACTCTACTCAAGTTCCAACCTTTATCCAAGATTCAAAACTTACATCTTTACGATAACGATTACCCATGAAGAAGAGCAACGTGTCACGAGACTCAACACCTATCTCCCCAGCAAAGACATTAACCCTATGAGAGTAAGGTATCACCACATCTTTAACAAACGACCCTTGATCAGCCCTCAACCTCCCAAAATCCGCCACCAGCAGAACAGCATTCTTAACCCGATCCAAGATCCGATACAAAGCATTCGGATCTCCAGCGGGAATCACATGATCCCTCCCTCCGTTCCTCCTCCACCACTCCTGACGCTCGAGCCAATCAATCAACCCTTCCTGCATCTTCTCATCGCTGTAACCCGATCCAGGATCCACCGGGCGACCCGCGTTCACGATCAAGCTGAGCGAAGAGAACACAGGAACGTAGAACAGATCAGCTTCCGCGGGATCCAAGACGCGTACGATTGGAGAACCGGATCGATCCGATTCGGGTCGGTTTAGATCCGAGAAGAGGTACCACTCGTGCATGTGTTGGTGACCCGGGTACTTGAGCTTTGTGACGTCATCGAGAGGGGGTTTGCCGCCGCTTCGGACGATGGAGTGCTGCTCGATTAAGCCGTAAGTGAATTTAAGGGGGAGATCGTACATGTAAACCCTAACTTTGGGCTGGATCGGAGTCGGAGCTTGTTGTTCTTCGCGGATGAGATGGTGGGGGCGATCGGATGAGGAAGGGAGGGAGCGGCTTACGGAGGCGTTGAGGATTGCGTAGATGAAGATAACGGAGATGACGGCGATTGCTGCTCGTTGGAGGACGGAGGATTTGCGCGCCATTGTTTGGGGAAGGTTGTTAGGGTTTTCAATTTCTTGTGTGTGAGAGAGAGATTGATTGAAGAATGTTAGTTAGCTCAGACTCATCGTCACATGACTAATGAAGATTACTATCGTATCTTACACCCTTCTATAACAGCTATTCACTAATCAGTAGTATTAAGTTTAGGCACGTCCACGTGTATTAAGTTTAGGCACGTGCATTAAATGTGGTAGTGTTCCCTGATCCGAAAAAAAAAACGATCTAAAATATCCGAATCCCAAATCGTAATTAACCGAATTCGATCAAAACATAGTATAAAACCTTAATAACCAAAAATCTGATCAGATAACTTAACACTCAAGTCTAATTAGTTTAAATTTTATACGTAAATAACAGAATGATGAAAGTGAACAACATAAGATAAGCATAATTGGTTTTCCGGATTACAAGTTCAAATGATCCAAAACATAATAAGGATGCATAACAATTAACAAAAGTGTGATGCCAAGGATTTGTACAATAATCTAATCTCTCTACACAATCGTTTTCTTTTTTATCTTTTCACATTTTGTAGAATGTGGCAGTGTTGTTTTACTTAGTTGTGCTGTTTATATGAGATGGGACCAGATCTAGAGACAGCAAACCTTGGAAGTGGACTAGGACCTGTGCTGTTTGATCCTGACCCTCCTTTATGGGTCGTGCTGTAATCCAACGGTCCAGAACGACGAGAATTTCCCCTTTGTTTGCTCTTGTTGTTTTCACTGCTCCTTGAGTTTCCTGCCTCCGGTTCGTTATAGTGTTCCTGACTGTAGAGTGAGGATGATGAGCCTTTGAAGTACCCTGAATCCGCAGCTGCTGCAGTGCTACTGCCGCCACCACTACCACGGGGAGTGGTCGAGGTTTTCATGGAAGGAGAAGCGTGGATGAGCGACACAGATGGGGAATGGTGTGGGGATGCAGTTGCCAGCGGTGTGGAAGGTGTGTTGGAATAGTATTGAGTGTAGATTGACCTTAGGATTGTGTATGGAACATGCGATTCAAGGGAGCTTCTTGGGAGGTACGGTGAACTCTCACAGAGTTGATCTAGGAAGATAAGCTTAGCCACAAGATGCGATCTGCAGAACAAGGAAGATGGTATATGTTGATGCGGATACAAAAGTAGGAAAGAGATTAAAAACGGATTATCTTTTACCTGTTTGCTTCGTTCCACGAATCTAGCACGATCGACGCAGCGAATTTAATAAAGAGTAACATTGAAGATTTGATGCTTGCTTCAGCGGATACACGGGGTTGAAACTCTGAGTCTAGATTTTCACTAGACTGATGACCGTTGGAGAGGGACTGATTCTGCTGCTGGTATTCACGTTGTAACCTTACATACTCACTTCCTGCTATAACAGCACTTATACACCGAGCCAAGCAATGTATGTTGTTGCTGAATCCGCCAGTCTCGATGTTGAAGCCAGTAGTGTTCCAGGCGTTTGAGCTCATGAACGAGGCGAAAAAGTAAGGTAACAAACTCCATGAGTTGTCATTTGCGCCTCCAACTTCTTCGAGGATTAATCTAACCCATTCAGAGTCATGATCCCCAGATACACCATTACCATTTGCCACGCCTTTGATCCTTCTGATCTCTTTCTTTTCAGGTACTTCTTCGGGTATGTGCTCAACGATGCCGGAGATCATCGAGTGAATCAAGGACGCATTGTCTTCAAGAACAGCTCCAGAAGCTTCGGCTAGGAGCTCATCAAAAGCCAACGCTTCACCAGCTTCAATACAAAATCCTATCACAGTATCCAAATCCACTATCTGCCTAATAGATGAATCTCTCTCCCCTCTGTCACCAGAATGCATACTTGCAGCAGCTGCTTCAATCAATTCCCTGTTTGACCTCAGAGATGTTTCTATGCAGTTTACCAGGGCAGCTGTATGTACTTTCATCATCTTATCCAGCCGGTCTACTCCATAGCCGCCAAATATACGAACAAACGCCTGTAGTTCCTTGAGGTCAGTGACTGACTCTGCAAAATACCCTCCAACTGGTCTAGCACTTTTGAAGTATTTGTGCCTCGGAGCAAAGATTATTCCTGCTCCAGACACGTCTTTGATGATATTGTCCATGTACCAGTTGCACACAACTTCGACGGCGGATCCAGTGTTTTGCTGTTGTTCAGCAGGTTTTTCGAACAAATGCAAAGAAGAAACAGGCCCGGAAAATGCTTCTGTGAGTAAAATTTCTCGGATGCCTTGGGTTAGATCCATGCTAACGTGCTGCTCTGCCAAATGTACTATGCCCATATGCCGCCTGATAAGAGACTCCAACACAGATGGCCGTTGAAGATCATTATCAGTTTGTAGTGCAGTAAGAAATCTTCTCTTGAAGTTCCCGAGGATGCATTCTCTCATGTACTGCAAATATCCAAATAGCAGAATCAAGTCAAAAAGCCTAACAAGACCAACCGATGAGAGAGAGTTCATCGTCTCATGAGATAATCTTTTTAATTTATGGATTTCGAATAGAATAGGAACAAAGAATTAAAGGCAATTCAACCATTCATGTGTTTTCTTTCTACAGATAATATAATCCTCGAGTTGAAATATAGCAGATTAAAAGTTCACCTCTCTTAGGACAAATACGTGATTTATAACACAAATAGGCTCCATGTCGTTCAGAATGGAACAGAGATTAGTCAACCTTTGGATCGCAGCTTCCAACCTGCCATCACAAGAAGATACTTAAAATAACAGTGTCTAAGGAGCAGTTGTTTCATGAAGGGAAAAAAAAGTTTAGGCTAGACTTGGGCGCTCACATCTTGATAGATTTATTATTCTCAGGATAGCTCTCATGGCCGGGCAAAGTGAACCCACCTCCGCCTACAACCCTGGGGGATTTCATTGAAGGAGCAGAAATTCTAGATGCATTATTTAGATACGCTGCAGCTTGTTCTGGAAGAAGCTGTGAAACATTGACGCGTCAGTTTTGAGGATAGTAGTCAAATAGAAGAATTTTTTTGTTATACAATTGATTTTGGGTAGGATTTATGACCTGTGATTCCAGAGCGCCAAACCCGCCTTCTGAATCAAGAATATTTATTAGTCCCTCTAGTCCTCCCATTATTGATTCAATAAGAGACTCGACGTAAAGCACTGCATCTCGCCCAAATTTGGTAACCTGTGGAGAAAGACGAGAAAAAGAGCCTTTCCGTTTAGTAGATGTTAACACTGATATAGAAAAAAATGGACATACGGGGATAAACAATGAGAACTCGTGGTTCACCAAAAAAGAACATGTATATTGTTTGTTTTAACAACAGATGTGATATGCTAAGAGAAAGATTCGAAATCCAACAGTAGCTAATGGAACATCAAACAGTCAACAACTTGAGCTGCCATGGAACATATGAAAACACGAGAACTAAGTGAATTTCATTTTACAATCACTTCCATTATTTATTGGCATACTAAGAGCAATATGGTGCTCAGTAGCTCACTGGGTGGTCTTTACACTACTTGAATGCATGCAAGAATCTCATGGTCCAGACATGTACTACGGTAGAGTGAAATATAGATTTTACCTCCTCCGGAATTATTAGCGAAGCACACTCCGGGAAGCTACTAGCTACACTAAGCCATGCACAACAATGCTGGGGACGCCCTTCTGGTCCAAACATTGTATTTCTGAAAACCTTTTACAACAGTCGAATGTCAGATTATGCAAAGATGACACGGGAAAATAGTGGACAATGAATAACAACAAGAAGTATACAGTTGTGAGGTGTTGATGGTAAAAATATAGTTTCTTCAAACTTCCATGCTTTGATAATTGAGACTCTATCTCATCAACACATCTGCATTGAGAAGACATGAAAATTTTCAAGATCTTAGCTTTGCTGGTTTACTTGCTCGAAGATAATCAAATAATGAGAAAATAAGGACAAGAACAGTACCTGGACCAGTTGTAAGCTGCATTTCCTTCAGATAGCAAGCCCTCCTTCCCTGTAGAGACAGTGGCTTTTTCCAGATGTCTGATGTTTATTGATGATCGAGAAGAAGTCACAATCATCAAAATGGACAACCAATCTTTTCGGAATTCCTATACAACAAGAAGCGTTGAGCATTACGAAAACAGATTGGATGACTACACAATATAATCTCGTGTTGGAACCAAGCTACAATTAGATTTGGAAGAATACCAAATGGGAAATATATGGAACTAGAACATGAGTGAATTTCCGTCTAGGGTGTTTTGATTATCATTAAAAAGGAGAAATGCAACTTTATATCATCTGACTTAAAAATAAGTGGATCTAGTCTAGCATCTTACAGAGAGGTCGCATGTGATTGCAGAAACATTTTCTCCCTGCGATTTGGGTATAGTTTCAAGATGTTGCACAATACGCTGGAAAAGGCCTTTCAATGTTGGATCAAGGTCCAGAGCCACGATTCCAGGAGTGCCCATCAAGTAACGAATCCTTCCAGCAGATGAAGAAAGGTATGATAATGCATAACCTCGAGCAGCTGCATTTCAATCAACAAACACCACTGAAATCACCAAATTTTGAACACCAGTACTGATCAGAGGGCTCTTATCAAGGTTTTTATGAGCCCCAATGGGTCCAATATCAGCGTCTCAAACTCATCTACTGACAGCCAATGTCCGAATATGATATCTCAAAGTAACAAACCTGCGATGTACTTGCGCACTAAACAACAGAGACGGTCCATTCCGTCAAGCAGGAAGCCAATGGTTGGATCATTTGGATCCTAAGAAATAATGAATAACAAATGAGTAATCATAACCAAACTTTGAGTTCACTGAAAGTCAAAGTTACAATGTTGAGGGACTTTCAACGTTCATGCAATCAACTTACTATGTCAACTGGTATCACTCGAGTAGCTTTGGATCTTGATGATGCAATACCAGCGTGTTGAAAATACCAAAGAACCTCAGATTGGGCCAAAGCCAATGCAGAGAATACCATCTACGAAAAGAGAAGTAAATAAATTAATAATTAAGGGATTCAGGGAAGGAAAGAACCCTTATGAATATACGACTGGATAGGAGGATTTGATCTATGCAATGCCACTTCCTTCTAAAGGGTAGTACGCAGCAATTTTCCACCCAAAAAAGAATCATTAGACATTTGGTAGATTATTCTCCTACGGAAGCATTCTGCTATTTTTCTTTTTTTTCTGAAATAAACCAATATGATGTGTCCTTTTCTCGTTGTTCAGTCCTTAGTGAACTCTCTTAATAAATAGAAAAGCAATTTTGCAACTCTTCTTTCACAATTTAGCAAGTTAATCTTCCTACGAAAGCATTTTTGTTTAAACTAACAAAAAGCACTGGCCCACGATCGTGAATAATGTTTAAGGTCCCCTGTTCTAACTGCGAGCAAGCTATCGCAAGCTTTGTTAAGTACAACCAACAAGTGACCGACGCTAAATCTTTATCCCGTATATGCAACGGCCTAAACCTAGGTTACAAGCAAAAGAAACTGAAACATCCAGCTTACCTGAATGTTTGGAGCCAACAAACTTGGTTGATCTGTGAAAAATAAAACCATCCGCCCTATTTCCTGCTTCAGCAATATTCTTCTTTCTCGGTGTATGGTATCACATAATTGCAATGCTTGGTCATGCACCTCACTGAAAGCAGCGACCAGAACAACAATTAGATTGTATATTCATTTGCAGCTAAAGTATGGAGTTAGACGTGGCTCATAAAGCCATAAAATTGGAGCTAAAGTATGGAGTTACCTAATCATTTTCTCAACTTGCTTTGCTACACTATATTCTAGATCAGCTTCCTTTTGCTTAGTCCGACCAGACTTTGCCATCTTCTTTGATTCTAACACACGAGGTAAAACATACAACTGGTAGTCCTCATGCAACATGATGTACTGCATAGTTAGATTAACATAGTCAGCTGATGCAAACCAATCTAAGCCAAAACTGTTTATCGCAGACCATTTGATATGAACTCACCTCATCTCGGAATAAAGTCACCACTAAGTTTTCCTTTAGCACAACCTGAAACCCAATAGGACAGTAAACATTTACTAGTGACAGCATAAACACGCAATCTGTAAACATAACTGGAAGCTTTTTGTACTCCATAGCTAGTAATCTTTAAATAAATTAACAATCCAAATGAAAGGACATAAATTCACATAACTAGTCCACAAACAACCAATTTCGAAAAAACAGCAGAGAGAGGCCGATCATTTCTGATGTGTATTCAACCCTCGTGGTAGATAACTGTGTGCTTCTTTATCAAGACCTCAGTCAAGAACGAAAGAAAAAGATTTGTACCAGGGCGATATCAATGCTAGTAACACGAAGAAGCTCATCAGGACAAACGAGATATCCAAGAAGCACCCATTCTCGGTACGAAGTAACATTTGCAAGGTCCTGCGCCCTCTGAAGGAAGCAACATTGCAAAATGTATGCAGTTATTAGCACTATACACAAGACAAGTGTTGTACGGAACATTACAGCATCCTACTAATTCAGAGAATCTTAATCATGATAAGTATCTAGCCGTTCAGAAGTACCATGGGATGAGCAGAATTTGTAAGTATGTCTGGGAATCGTGGATGATATGGGCTTAAAAATCCCTCGTTTCTCAACTTCCTTGTATCTGCAGAAAGAAAAATACTGGGTCCTACGGCTTCCAAGACCTAAGAAATGAGTAACATGGTTAGTACTGATGTATCAATTCCAGTATTAACTCGTAGTATACCCGTTCATTCTTAATTTGGATATAACAAGTGCGGCCTCAACTCTTACAATCCAGTGAAATTCTGCTAAGCATAATAATCAAATCAAACAAAGACGGATATATTAACCTCTCCAATCCTCGGACTGACAAAATTCAAATCCTCTTGTAAGCCTTTCAATGGAGGATCATAAGAATCTATGAATTGCACCAATCTGGATGCAATCATGCAAGACGAAGCGTGTTAATTCATGATAACTGGCCTATTGATTATACACTACAATGTAAAAAAAGAATTTATACCGGTGATAAAAGTCACAGTCTCGATCATTTCTTGATAACGCATGCAGAAGATTGTAGACTTGCAGCAACATTTTTCTAGGAATCTACTTTGATAGAATAAACATTCTTAGAGATTGGTAACAAAAGAAGCGTATGTCTTAACTGACATGTGTGTTAATCAATCCAAATAAGCTCTCAGCATACCTTCTCTGCGAAAAGATTGACTCGGACAAATGCACAAAAGAGATCCATGAATGCATGCAGTATAAGTGAGTTCTGATGAGGCTGCAAAACACTGAACTAAGTTATGAGCTAATCATGAATACTCAAGAATTTTATCCTCATCCCCACAGACAAAATATTGACAAGTAGAAATAAAACTTAAAATAGAACTCAATTTCAACCAAAAGCAAGTAAATACTTTCCACAGATGAGGGACGTTGACTCACCAGCAAGGTAATTACAGTGCTGCTTAGGTCCAATATGAGCCGTAGTGCCTGTTCGCGAAATGCCATCAAGTCGAGCAGCAGCTGACACAAGAAAGGAAAAATGGGTGACGAGAGGAAAATGAAGACATCCTATTTAAATTCTACACAAACTAAAAATAGAAGGCTAACAAATTACCACTCTTAAACAATTAACAAGTGAAATCCATGTATTAGGTATATCACATATGCGTGACGAAAAGTAATGAATAAAGCAAACTTTAAGAAGCTTGAGTATATACTATATAGCATGTCGAGATGCTTCACTATTCTCAAGAAACAAAACAACCCAACACATAGATACCTGTATCCATGGCTCTAAGCTCTGTAAGTGAAGTTCAGCACCATCTTGCAAGCTATCCAGCGAAAACTTATCAATCTACATAAATATTGCAAACATATTTCCTGTTACCATCACAGCAACAAAAGCACACACTAAGCCTAATACGAAAACAAACTCACATAACTTACACGTTCGAGTTGCGATTTGGTAAAGTTCTCAGGAAACTTCTTCGAGAGCAACGTGCAAATCCTCGGATGATTAGGAAACACACCCGCTTTCCAAAACGCTTCAGAGAAGACATGACCAACAGGATCAGGATACTCCAAGATTTGATTCAGCCTATACATTTTCGCCATGATTCCCTCCGCAACCTCGATCATCTGAACCACCCACTGTATGTTCAAAGCCTTGGTCGAAGCACCAGCAGCAGAGCTCTGAACATGTCCATCAGCGCTAGTATGCTTGGAGCTTCGAGACGACACCGATGGAGCCATTTCAGGTCCTAAGTACTCAGTCCATCTCGAAGGACCTTCCCATTCTCTGGATCTCGCGGAGGTTGGAGACGCTGATTCATCTAGAGATGGATAGTATTGACGAGAATTCGCCATTAAAATGGTCAAAATCAAGTAAAAGAAACACTCCTGCAATAAGGGAAAACTCAATTTCAGAATCAGCATTACACAATTGCATTCATCTTCCAAATTAGGAATGAGAATCGTGACTTCTTTTAAACGCAGTGACAGTGATTCTCAACAACACCTCGTCAGCGAGCAAATGCGATTAAAATGGAGCGAATCTCTGATACATCCGATCTTAGAAGCAATGGAATCGGGATTGATTTCTCTCTCAGCACAAGGAGCTAGCTTAGCTTAGCTATTGAGAAAACTCAAGTCAAACAAGAGTCTCGTGGAGAATGAAGTTGTTACCTGAGGAAGCTCGGGTAAGTAGGAGAGAAGCCTCGGGAAGGTCGCTTGGAGTTCAGATCTGAGTTTCTGGAGACGGCGACGAAGAGGTGAGAGAGAGCCGGCCTCAAATCGGAATGTGAGCCGATAAAGAATTTTGGGGTCTCATTTTTAAGAGAAGAAACTTGTTTTATTTGTTTATTTATTTTAAAATTAAGATCTGTTAGTTAAAAAGAAGAAGAAGAAAACAAATGCTCTTGTTGGATGATTTTGATGGCAACGAATACCACTTGTGATGATTATCATTACTATCTCTACACTACTAAGCAGCTTTTAGGTCTAATAATTGTCAATTATTTTGGAATTACTGTGTGAAACTACTGTATGACTGACGTGTTTGATTGTGTCATCGTGGCTAATTTTAGTAGCTTCTTATTGAAAACCTGTATATCTTTTGTATATACAGTATCTTTTCAAGTCTATCACAGTTTTAAAATGAGTTTCTCCAAAACGTGTCACAGGGTAATCTGTGAAGCTTCAACATATATATGGATTTTGAGATTAGAGTTGTAATCTTTCCCACTATAGGTAAAACATATGCAACTCTTTCCACGTGATTCCGGGATGTAGTCAGTAAAAGTTGGGTGAGGACATTGCCAGATTTTTATTAGTGGAAGACATGTCAACGAACAAAAGCTAAGATAAATTAAAATTAAAAAAAGGACTACTTAAAATTCGATATGAAGCAAGAAAGTACTGTATTTGTATAGTATACTAATAATAATTAGGGTTGACAAGGGAAATGAATCTTGTATTACAAGGCACATCTCCGTAGCTTTGTCGGCCAATTTTGAGTGCTTGGCTTCCACAATAAGCAACAATCATTCCAAAATCTTTCCCCCACTGTGCATAGTATCATATTGCCTCACACAAGATTTTTGTTTCCTTTTACAGTTAACTTTTGAGGTTTATTTCTGAACTAGAAAAGAACAAGAAACTGGTTCAGTGCGGTTGGTAAGATCAACCATTTTTCGTTCTGTCCATTAGTTTCTTCTTTATACTCACGTTTCTTGGATCCACACTTCCTGAGAGATAAGAACTATGTATCTTAGTATTGTCCATGGATCCTTCTTCATCTGAGCTATTCTTCCCTTGACTTTAAGTGTCATAATCAGCATTAATCACCTTTAGCTGCTCATTTCCATGTTAAAGAACTCGTTTCAAGAATCGGTTCTATCACTTAAAGATCCCAAATGAGAAACAAAGAGTTGTAACTCCATGATAGATCAAATCAATTGTGATTGCCAAAGCTTTTATTATTCTCCACCATTATTTTTCAAAACAATACTTAAAAAGAGAAGCAGAGATTCATCCACTCTACAAAGATCGAAATTTCAAGTTGATCCTCCTATTGAGAAAACAACAATCTGTGTTGCAGAGGAAGCTGAAACAACAATCTGTGTTGCAGAGGAAGCTCTAGAAGACAAAAAAGTCAGTGTGTGGCGTCTTCTTCTTCGCAGAACTTAGAATACTTGTCTGAATCCATCAGCTTCTCTACCTCCCCTGCATCACTCAGCTCCACCTTTATGATCCATCCTTCTTCATAAGGGCTCGTGTTCACCTGTCAGTTCCAACAAAAAGAATCTCTCAGCTCGAGACCACATAACCAACAATTCTCCAGAGTTTATCATGTTTAACAATCATATCAGTAAAATGTTAGTCAACTAATCATATCTATATATTTGTTGCCAGTGAATCGCTAATATGATTTACAATTAAAGACTCACCAATCCAGGGGACTCGGTGAGCACCTCATTGACTTCAACCACCTTACCAGAGACTGGAGAATTGATATCACTAGTAGCTTTCACACTTTCAACTGCTCCAAAACTCTCACCTTGTGACACCGACCGTCCCAAATCAGGCAGCTCTACATAGACCACATCACCCAAGTGGTCCTGCGCGTGATCCGTTATACCAAACGTCGCTTTATTCCCATCAATCTTCACCCATTCATGTGACTCAGCATATTTCAAATCCTTCAATACCACTAAACAAACACACACAAAAAGATGACCAAAAAGTTAGACACATCAGATTCAACTAACAACAGAATCAAACAAAGACTATCTCTGTTAAACAAGTTGCTTTCGGCAGAAACATAGTTCCTTCAGTTCCAAACGCGAGAAACAGCAAACAATATGAACATCACACAATCTTCAAGTGTCTGAACACAATATAGATACTATTAACAAGTCTTGAGAAATCAAATGCAAACTTCTGAGATTTGATACGAACAAATACAAACATAAAACCTCCGACTATCGATTATAATCCGATCAGCATATCAACAACAACTAAAACCCCATCATTTCTAGAATGAACAATCTCAGATTCAATCATCAAAGAGAGAAACCAAACATCAAACAAAGAGAAACGAATCAGGAAACTGAGATTCACCGGAAGCAAACCCTCGTTGGGCAACGGAGATCCTTAGATGAGAAGCAACCCTAGAAGCCCACAAGAACCTAGCAGCCATTTTTTCGTTGAAACCGAGAAAACGCCGACACACAACAACAACACTGAGAGAGAAAGAGTGCACTCACCACCAAACATCTTATTAAATATTATATACACAAAAGGGTTTGGTGGGTTATGACATTAAACCATATATTATAACATGAATAAATGTACATACAGTTCTGTTTCACAAAATATCCAAACTTTATTAGGTAACCATTAGCTGCTTTGGGACAAGAGAACTCACAGACACATTCTTATGCATTGTCCTAACCACTGAAGTAACCTGTTCCACTTGCTCCTCACTAACACAAGCCGATAAAAGAACCTTAGCTGTTCCTCCATCAGGTACACAACCCGAATCAATCATCTCCTCGAAAATCTCCAAACATTTCACATAAAGCTTCTTCCTCGAGTAACCACCCATCCTCGATGTCCACGTCACAACGTCTGGTCTTAGCTTCCTCTCCTTCACCTCCTTAAAAAGCTCTTCGACTCTCTCCAAGAACCCGGCTTTACCGTATACATTGATCAAGATGTTGTACGTGCTTATATCCGCGGTGCAAGGACCGTTCTCCATCTCGGATAGAATCTTTTCCATCTTGGTGAATTGTCCTAACCGTCCGTATAAGTTGATCATGCTGTTTAGGACGAATGTGTCTGGTTCTACTCCGTTTTCACTCATCTGTTTGACGATGGCTTCGCATTTGGTGACGTCTCTGGCTCTGGAGTAGGCTGATAGAAGCAGCATGTGGGATTTCATCGTTGGTGTTATGCCGAGTTTCTTCATTTGTTCAAACACAGCTTCTGCATCTGGTTTTCAAACACACTTACATTTAGAGCTTATAATGTTTTTAAAATGTTATAGAGCTATTAACTTTTAAAATGATTTATATTTCATTGTTAAATATACAGTTAACATTTTTTTAGTAGGGTATAAAAATAATTTGAGGACAGCACTAAGATGAGTAGATGACTACTAACTTTTTTTGTGTTACCTGAGTGGAGACCTGCTCTACCATAAGCATCAACCATGATATTGTAGGATGCTCTGTCTGGTTCACATCCCATGTGTTGCATTAGAGAAAAAATCTCAGCAGCACCATAAGGATAACCTGCACGACTGTCTCCAGATTTTGAGGAATGTTATATTTAAATTTTCATGATTTTCTTGGCATCATCAGTCTGTAATGAGATGGTGATATAGGCTTAGTACTAATCACCTGTATGCTTCCATGAGAGCGTTGTAGACATAGACATCAGGTTCAAGCCCATCTTCTTGAAGCTGCTCAAAAACTTCCTCAGCTTTTTGGCAAAGACCTTCTCTAGCAAATGCGTTCACAAGCGCTGTGTATGTGCATATGTTTGGTTTACACTGGTGACTTCTCATTTCACAAAACAGTTTCCATGACATGTATGATTTACTTGCCTACAAGAAAACCCATTGACATTTCCCAAAAGGAAAACACTATGTTCATAAGGAAACAAAGTTTGAGCTAAACCTTTCCGTATAAATTTATCATCAAGTTGTAAGTTTCAGTGGTTGGTTTGCATCGTTCTCGCTTCATCCTCTGGAAAACATCGATTGCTTCTTCGGTGTTTCCTCTCCTCTTCATCAGCCCTTCAATATATGCATTGTATACAGTAGCACCTACACAACACTAAATATGAGCCACTGTTTGGTACCAATGTATATAAAACATTAGAAGATGCAGAAAACATACTTGGAGTGACATGATGGTTTTGCATCTCGATTAAAACAGCTTCAGCTTTCTCTATAAGCCCTGCCAAACAGTATGCTTTCACAAGAAGAGCGTATGTATCTTCTGTAGGCACGCAGCGGGACTCAAGAAGCTGTACATAGAGTGATTCTGCCTCCTTGTACCGGAGCTTCTGTCCATAAGCATCTATAAGCAAATTGAAGCAGATTACATCAGGCTGAAAGGAGCTCCTCCGTAATATCCACTCACACACCTAATACAAGAATTAGCTTTAGCCAGCTAAGATAGGTTTGACACCACAGAAACAATAGTTGAGATGCTTAGCCAAAGATCTCATGTCAAAAGATGAAGAAAAAACTGAAAGTGCTCCAAGAAAGCTAACCAGGACAATGGGATCCCACTTCTTGTTCAAACGGAGCTGCACAGCAACGTTGATTAGATCATCCCAAGAGGCATGAGTAGAAGGAAGAGTTCCAAGTACATCAGCTACTTTCTCAGGATCAGTTTCTCTTTGAATAAAGCTCAGAATCTTCTGAGCAATGGGACTCAACACAGGAAAAATCCCATCTACAAAACCGGATCCATATTTCCATCCTCTCCCCCTCAGAGAACCACCTACATGAAAAAACCAAATCAAACATTCATCACCATCCAAAATCTCACAGAGCATGATCATAAGAAACTGTCTTGATGTGAGCCTTACATCGTTTCCTAGACAGTTTCTTCTTGTTAAATCTTTTTAATTTCCCGCGTTCATCTATGAGAAATCCTTCCCGTTTATAGCTCTTCACAACCCCACCATTGAAATGAGTCACTACAGGACTCAAATATCTATGGAAGCCACTGGTGTCAATGAATATGCAACTCAAAGCGTTTCCAGCAACCAACCTGCCAGTCAAAAATCTAAATTTTATTTGAAAAGTTGAGAGCTTTAATTGTTTTACTTACTTTAGAAACCAAAGTCACAAAATGTTTTACACAAACCATAACAACAACACCCAGTAGAAATAGAAACTCTGCAGATGGGTATGATGAATTACACTCATCTTTCTAAAACGAGAAACCAAACACTCAAGAGGGATGTAAGGAAGTTCAAAGTAGATAAGATATAGTCGCAATCTCAGAAACCAGAGTGAGTGAGAGAGAGAGTGGGTTCTTACATGACCGGGGAGATGTGTTGAGCGTTGGAATAGTGCTGCTGTATATAGTTCTCAGCGTTATTGGATAGTCACACTCTTCTCCTTCTTCAGTTGTTCATGGAGGATAACAAGTCGCAATCGTAAGGATGAGTGTGTCCGTTAAGTAGAGGCTCAGACTCGTAGAGGTTTTCACTTTCGTCTTCATTTTGTCGCCTTGCTTGTCTTATTTGGAAAAAAAACAGTTATTATATAGAGGTTAACATTAACTTATTTGGTAAAGTAAATACAGTTTTTACACTATTATATTTTTTGAGATGTGTAATAAAAGTCATTTTCTTTCTGGAACAAATCCAATTATATTAAGATCATCATAATTTTCTTAAATAAAATATAGAAACATTTCAATTCATTCAAAACATAAAAGTTATAAAAAAAATTGCTAGAAGAATGAAAGCTAACAAAAAATTTTAAGTGTTATATGTTACAATACAGTGTTGTTTTCTAAATTAAAATTTTGAAAAATCAAATTATGAATACTTTTAAATACTGAAAAAAGAGTGTGAATTTTTGGAAACTACTTCAATCTTGAATTTTTTTTGTTAAAAGTCAATTATTTAACCACATGTTTTTAGTGTCAATTAAAGTCAATTTGCAGCATCTAAAACAGTCTAAAAAAGGAATTGACAGATATGTCACTCAACAACTTTGATATTTTCTTGTGTTGGTAGATTGAAAGTTGCTTTTGGTACCAACAACATTAAGAGTTTTTGTGAATTTTTTTTCCTTTTTTTATATGATTATTATTTATATATGGTAATATTTGAGTTATCATTCACTATTCTTTTCTTGGTAAACAATATTTTATGTTTATTTTCTTTGATATCCAAATATTTCTTTATTTTTAATTTTTAACAAAAAAAAAAAAAAAAAATCCAAAGCGTCGCGAAGAAGCTTTTGGGCCAACCCGCAACAAGTGTACGAAGATTTTGTTAATACAATGCAATATCCGGAGAATATTTATAAATAGCCGAAGGAAAACAGAGAGACCCCATACCGAAACAGACTATCTCGATATTTGCGTTACTTTCGCTCAAAAAATCGCTTCGATTCTCTCTCCCCTCTCGCCGTTTCGTTCCCCTCTCTTCCGGTGACACTCCAGAAAAAAAAGTATAGAAACCCTAGCCGCGATTCTCATCGTCTTCTTCCCGATTTTGATTTCAATCGACTCGTTTATGTTTGTTTGCATGTTTTTGTTGCTTCGTTTTTGCTTTTTTTTTTGCAGACGCCAGGAAAACTCGAAAGCCGTGATTTCTCTCTCTTTCATCCAGGTCCTTAATCTTCACCACCATTACTCTAACATTGCTTCGATTCTCTAGAAACTACTATTTGCATCGTTTTGCCATGTTTGTTTGTTTGTTTGTTTGATTATCCGTGACGTCATCGTTTGATTTTGTTGTTGAATGTATCTGCCTTTTGATTATCTGTGATAAGCTTCAAAGAGAGAGCTAGGTCAGCGTTTGATTTCGTTTCATTATCCGTGACGTCATCGTTTGATTTTGTGTTCAATGTGTCTGCCTGATTGTTTGATAAGCTTGAGAGAGAGAGAGAGTTAGGTCAGCGTTTGATTTTGTTTTGAATGATCAGTTGCGTAACTAACTTTCTTTTCTCTTTTGTGTGTTAGTTTTATTCGCTTACTTGTTGAGAACGTTTTAGTACTGATTAGTTTTCTGATTGTTTTTGTATTCATCTTTACCTACTGTTTTTGGCTCTACATGTCTCGTGATTGCTACTATCCTCTTGATTTAATGAATGGAGGAACATTAGTTTGTTGTTATTTTTTAGTTTTTCTGCTACAGCATGTCAAAGTATAAGAGGAGGAAGTTTCTGGAGGAGTCCAACGGTGCTTCTGGAGAGTACCCTGAGTACGGCGCGATTTTCATGTCCAATAGCTCCACAAGAAGGGAATGCTTAAGGAGAGAGATTTTCGGTTTGCCGATGGGGCTAGCTGGTTTTGTGAAACAGGTCAAAGCTGGGATGTTTTTGTTTTTGTTTGAGTTCGAGAGTAGGGAGCTACATGGTGTCTTTCAGGCTTGCTCTGATGGTGCTATCAACATTGAGCCTGATGCTTTCTGCTCTTCTGGCAAACAGTTTCCTGCTCAGGTACACTTCATGAGTGTTTTTGGGTTTTTGCTAATATTGTGTTTTTGACATTGGTTTTGGTCATATTTGATTAGGTTAAGTTTACTGAAAAGTGGCGTTGTAGGCCACTTGGTGAAATGGAGTTTCGTCATGTGATTAGTGATAATTACTTTACGGCTAAAAAGTTTAACTTTGGACTCTCAAAGTCACAGGTGGGTGGTTGACTGTTCTATGGTAAATCTATGCATTGGTGAATCGTTATGGTTTTTGTCTCCACTTATCTTTGTCTGGTCAAAATTATGTGGTTTGACACTTTTTGTTTTAAAATGTTATTTGATAGGTTCAAGGACTATTGAAGTTGTTTAGCTTGAAGAAGGTAGAGAGATCAAAGCCCTCAAGAAAATTAGAAAGTAGGATGGGAAATACAGCTGGTGATCGCGGTTTTAGGAATCGTCGTGCAGAAGAAACTGAGGGAGATGTGGATTATGAGTTTCACAGCAGAGGTAAATCTGCAGGAGATATGCCAGGTCGTAGGTTATCAGAAAACTATGGGTTGAGGGATAAATCTGATAGTGGCGTCAAAAACGAAGAGAGGGAGTACTCCCGAGATGCGTCTGGGGTTTTTAGGAGACTCGGTGGTCCCAAATTGCATGTGTTTGAGGATAGATATGACCCTAGCATGAAAAACAGCTCTAGAACAGATGATGACTCTGATTATTCGCTAGTTAATGGTCGAAGTGTCCCAAAGAACTTGAGTCACACCGCAAGTGGCTGGCCAGAAAACGAGTACCATGAAAGAGATGGTTTCACACTTGAAAGAGATGGTTTCAACCACGAGGAACACCTTACATTTGAAGAAGATTCTGCTGTTCCTGCTCAAAGCTCAATACCTCCAGAATCAGCATATGGAACAAACACAGAATACTATGACCCTTGTAATCCTGGGATCATGGGAGGTGCAGTGATGGAAAGCTCTAGGCATGATATTGATGATGAACCGGACTACTACATTCCAATGCCTACTGAACATCCTGAATACCAAACTAGCACTGGCATGACTGGAGTAGCTTGTTCTGAATCTGAACCTAGATATGGTCATTCTCAGCTTCCTGGTTTCCTAGCTTCTGCGGAAGCCACGGAGAACATGATGATGAATTCTGAGAGGCCGTCTTACCCCAGCCACAGCATCTACCCTTCTTTTGCTTACCCTTTGTCGACAGATTTGTCTCCTAACGATGCAATCAACTATAAAACTTCAGCATATCAACACCAGGAAGAACATGGAGGTCATTCTTCATATTTAAACGATAGAGTGGCTAGGGATTCCAGGATTTACCCTTCTTTTCCATATCCTTCAAAGGCAGGTGATGGAGTTGATTTGTATCAAGAGAACAGAACTCAGAACAAAGTTCAAGTTTATCAACAACATGAAGATTTTGGCGGTGAGGCTTTTGACTCTGATAGTAGAGTGATTCGAATGAATGAGCGAAGTAGTCCTGCTGAATTTGAAAGAACGAGAGCCAGGAAAAGTGTCTTTAGTAGGCTTGCTATGCCTTCAAAAGAACGTGAGGCTGAAGAGGATACTTCTCCGGTCAGTGAACCAAACGATGAGGTAATGGCCTTTCTAAACGACTGTCAAAAACATTTGATGGAGCAAAAAAGACCAGATGCAACTGATCCTGCGAGGTTTATTAAACCCAAGAAGAAAAAGCAAAAGATCCATACAAAAGAGGTTCTTGGCGATGATGGTTCGATGCTTCCTTTTGTTGAGACTGGTCCAGATGATCAGTTGGAACATAGTGATCAGAAGCCACCATTCATAGATTTTAAGCGCCGTAGCCAAGTTGAAAAGAGCAGTGTTAATCCAAGTCAAGAGTGTAAAGACAGCCTCGATGATTCAGCTCCTCAAGACAAGAAAAGGAAGCTGGTGAGACCAAAACTAACTGAAGATGACTCGGAAAAGGATAGAGGAAACAATGACAACCCTATCGAAAACGACATGGCCCCAAAGTCAGCTAGTGAAGCCCCCCTCCTTGATCTCCTTGCACGGTTTGGTCAATAACCATTCTGCTTTCACTTGGAGATGGAAAAAAGGACAGAACAAAGGCTGTTTCTACAAGTGAATGTGGGCGTTGTTCCTTAGCAGTTGTGTCTTTTAGTTTCTTCCCAAGACGAGGGTCGTAAATCTCTTTTTTGTTGTGTTAGAAGTGTATCTTCGTAAACAACAATGCTTACATGCTTTTTGTGCAAAGCAGTTTCAAGTAAGGACGGCTTTGGTCTATGGTACATGTTTTCAATCTCTTTGCTAGGGTTTTGTAAATGACATTGCATAAGGCAATTGTTCAAGAGGAATCTCAAATTTTAGGATGAGACATTGTTTTTGTTGGTTATCTCCTTGATGATATAAATCTTTGTGGATAAATCATATACTTAAAAACTGACAAATGCAAAGATTTGATTTCATAAAGCAAAGATAAAATCATATACAGGACTCCTCAAGCTATCAAGCTCAAGACCTCTGTGAGATGAGAGAGGTAACAAACATTAGTCCCTCTAGTTCATAGCGTTTGGTCCAAAGCATCTATTCCTAGTAAGATCCCAAACCCATTGAATCAAATACTTTCTTCCTCTAACTCCATTCACATTATACACATTCCTCCACCGATCCTTATACACACTCCCCATATACCCTCCACCCCCTCCTGATCCATACACTCCCAAACACAAATCCGCTATCTCCGTCGGTGCCATCGCATCCTCTCCTCCATACCATCCATTCAACATAGGGTTACTCGACACTTCCGCAAGCTCATGAGCTATCACACTGATCATCCCATCGATCCCCACTTCTCCATTAGGTGGTTTCATCTTCTCTCTACTCACAAACCCGCTTCCTGGAAACGGTTTAGGCTGCGCAAAAGGGTACGCACACATCTCCGGACACTGTTTCACACTGTTCCCTACCCACACGTACGGTACCGTTGCACCAACGATGGTTGAGAAAGTGAAGTAATGAAACCCGCAGATCGCTCTGCAGAACTCTTGCATCTCTACATCATCTGAGGTCAGGACTAAGTACAAGCCGTTTAGAGCGTTTAGTGGTAGCTTGTTGGTCACGGCAGTTCTGATGATGGACTGGACAGAGAAGCGAGTGAGGTGAGATCCGTGGGAGTAAGTTGAGTCGTGGAACTCTCCGGATAAGACAAGTGTGCTGGTTATGTTGGAACCTGTTTGGTCTCTGTAAAGCATCACAGTCTTCCACCAGTCGGATACTGAGGGATGGTTTGCTGGTGAAGAGACCGAGTAGAGGAAGTCTCGGATTGTAGACTGGTGAGTTGGGTTCCAACGGCCGTACCAGATGATGTAAAGACTCGTCTCCGGGGAGGATATGACCGGACCCATGTGGTATTCAAGGTTTACAAGATCGGAGGAGCCTTCGTAGTTCTTGCTTTCGTCGTAGAATTGTCCATTTGATGTGGAAGAGAGTGAGAGGAATAACAAGAAGATGAGAGAGATCATCTTGTTTGGGTTTTGTTTATGATTTAATGAGGGAAGGAACTTGGAGATGTTATCTATTATTAGATTAGAAACTCCATTTCTATGTAATTTTAATTTTCAGGTGTCGGTTAAGTGGCAACTTTTAAGCTTGATTGGTGGCACTGTTAGGGTTAGACAGAGAGCCCCCACTTGACCAAAATCATGTTTACCTCTAATGATTTCTTGTCAAAAGAAAAGATGAAAGCTAATGTAAAGTCGTACTATAACCATTATTACATTAAATAATACTATAAGATCCAATATCAAAAAGTGGAACAAAAAGCTTTACATGTTAACCTAGAAAACAGAGTAAGCTTTACATGTTAACATAAAATTTCAGAGTTGGAAAATCATCTGACAAGTTATTAAATCAAGAAAAATATTTTGTATATACAAATCTAATAGCATGACTTCTGAATAATATGCTATTCATAAGCTTTAGTAATTTACCATCTATCATCCGCTAGTCAAGTCACTTTTACAGTTTGACTAAGCCAATGGAAAGTGGTCAAACCTATAATTTTGTAACTGACATTATCTAGAGATAATAGTAGACATTTATGCTGAATTTTGGATGTATTTTTATTAATCTGTATAAAAACAAGAAAAATCACTCTAATAACAATTTGCATCTTTTAGAATTTGAACCACATGATGTCAAAAAAAAAAAATTGAACCCCATATTTATTTTTTTTGTATAAAAACATTAATGAATTTTGATAAACACCTGTGAACTTCTGTATTTGTTTCTATTTTGTCTGATTCTGGTAAAACAAACAAAATGTTCTATAAAATTCTCTTTTGGAACTTTTTTCTCAACTTGGGATCCTTCTGATTTTCTGAAAATGAATAATAATACCTAGGGGTGGGCACTTTACCCGATACCCGAACTCGTACCCGAACCCGACCCGAAATATCCGAACCGAAATCCGAACCGAAGTAGCAAAATATCCGAACGGGTATTGAGTTAGAAGAGTTTGGATATCCGAACCCGAACGGGTAATATCCGAACCCGAACGGGTATCCGAAGATAACCGAACATATATATATACCTATTTATTTCTAGTTTATTTGTCTCATTTTATTAAAAATATTTATATTAATGTTATATATAGTTCAAGATCAGATAATATACATATAATTGTAAAAAAAAATTGATTTGTTACTCATTTAAAATGCATATTAAGCTTCTTATTTCATATTTTAACAAAATTAATTTGCATCCAAAATTCGAAAATAACAACCAAAATAATGATTTTTATTTTCAATAATTTATTTTCAAACTTATTAATCGTCAAACTTATTAAACATTTAAAAAAGATTATGTTGATAGTTAAATTTTTAAATACATGAAACTTAAGTAATGAAGAATTTGAATTTTTTTTTTTCAAAATCTAAATATCCGAACCCGACCCGAAATAACCGAACCCGAACTAAAAATATCCGAACCCAATCCGATATGTAAAAATACCCGAACGGGTCCTAAACCCCAATACCGAAATACCCGAAATACCCGACCCGAACCCGAACGGGTTACCCGAACGCCCACTCCTAATAATACCTGGTTCCTCGATAAATTGAAAAAGACAAACATTTCCTCCCCCGTGGAAAGTGACCTTTTGCTTTCAACGCTCTTTTTCCAGATTCGCGGTAGTCACAAACTCTTTTATAAACGGTCAAACCAGAAATCAAAAGCCAAAACTTCTAAACCGTTACCGGTTTAATACCCCACCTGGATTACTATTACATTTGAATTTCATAAAACTTTAAGCTCATACAATTCTGCTACAGACTCTCGACACTTTACTTCGAATGTTATTTTCGTCCGCAAAGAATAATAATATTATGAACAATTTACGACATAAAATTTTTGAGGCGATTTTAATCAATTCGCCATCAAACCATACTCAACCGGGAACTGGTAAAGGAGATATCCATTTTCGGTTTACTCCCCCTTTGCTTTAGGCTCAACTTTCAACTAATAAAACTTTTGTTTCTTTAGCTTAGGCTCGCCTAGCTGCAACGAAATGCTAACCTCTTCTTCTTCTTCAGAACTGCTCTTTAACGCGACAAGATCATCAACTTTGAGTCTCTCTTGCACTCTACTAGTAGAAGTAGACTCGTTTAACGATAAAGGAGCAATGAACACATGTTCCTCTACTTCAGGTTTTGGTTTGACAGCTTCTTCTATATGAAACTCAGGCGGTATAAACGGCTCAAAGTTGTTCTCATCTTGTTTATCTCCTGATGGAACCGGGTCAGGTGGTGATGACTGGCAAACCGTTGAACCAATTGCTGTAACCGAAGTGTTTCTCTGTTCTCTAGCAGCTGCTTACACAAAGCCAAAACGTATAAGAACACAAAGAAAAGTATTGAAACATGGCAAAAAGCTGATAAAAGAGTTATTTATAAAACCTTCAAGCTCATGGTTTGATGTGATGAGATCTAACTCCAAGAGATCCAAAAGCCGACCAAGATCAACTCCACTCGTCCAGTTCTCAGGTTCTTGTCCAGATATCAGTTTAAGTCGTCCTCTGTTTGCTGTTCCACCCCAAATGATCCCAACAGGTCGTGGCTTCTGACCATTTGGACTTGTTAAGAGTATAAGGCTTCCACTGTCACCTTCAAGGTCAAAAGTTTGCTGGTTCTCACCAATGACTAGAAAATCTGTGAGGAAACAGATCCCTTTCTCGTCGTTGTATTCCAATGCATAAGCCATAACGGTTCCAGTGGTGTATCCAGAGCTTCTTCCAACTTTAACAACTTGTTTGCCAATAAGTGTATCGATAGGTGATTGCAAGTCTATGACGTGGACATTGCCTATCTCACCTATTCCCTTTATCACTGTGGTTACATTGCTCATACTGAAATCTTCTGCAAATGGAATAAAGGCACCGTCCGCTCTCACAAATGTTTCTGCATTGGGATGAACAGTCAGTGTGAATCAAGAGTGTTCAGATATGTTGTTGGCTTCTGAACAGACCAATGCAGAGACTTGTAATGTAAACTTTATAACTGGACGGTTTGGACTTTTAGTTCGGTTCGGTTTCGGTTCAGGTATTTCAGTTTGAACCGTTTAGTTATTTATAAAATTCGGTTTGGTTTTGATTCGGTAATTTTCCAATAATATAAGTAAAAATAATTCGTGTTGTTTGGATAATTTTAAACATTTGGATAAAAAATATACAGGCAATTCAGATTTTCTGGTAATCCGGTTTATAAATAATATTTTAAGATATTTGATTATTTAGAAACTAAATATAAATGATGTTTTAGATATTTAATTTTATTTAAAAAATTCGAGTATTCACTCGGTTCTTGGTTCAGTTTCGATTAAGTTTTGATCTTCGGTTCGGCTTCGGTTTTTTGTTTCGGATAAATGTGCCTAGACCTAACTGGAGTACCTGGATTTGTGTCAGCAAATATGCCGTACCACTGATCATCTGTAATAAACGATGTTGCTCTCTCAACAGCACCGAGGTAGACACCAGGTCCAAGGCTTGGAGGTAAAGGATGAAACATTTTCTGGCTTGGATAGTCCAAATCAACTGCCACATGCCGGTTAGTAAGGAAACCGACCTGATGGTTACCGGTTCTGCTTTTCACTATAGCTCCCAAGGTCCCATACGTTTCTTGGCTTGCAACCTACACAACAAGAAACAAAACTGAGACTTTACGCTTACGGTTTTGCAGAAAAGAGAACCAAAAAAAAAAAAAGAAGAAGTACCTGAGAACCAGAGCCAATGCAGGGATCACTTCCTCTCAAACCATCCACAAGTTCATTATAAACCTGTTCCTTTGGCGTTGCTGCAGGAGCTCCGTAATATTGAAACTCCACAACATCTACATCACACCAAACCCCTCCAGGACCCTATTCAGAAACATCACTTATCATAATGGTCTAATCAATTTACTAAACGATGTAGAACATAAGATAACTAAACCTCAAGAGCTGAAGGAAGACACTGCATTGGATTAAGCCACTGCCTATGTACTTTCCTAGCAACAAACACAAGTATCGCTGGAGTATTCGTCAACACACCACGAGTGATCCTAAACCCAACAGCAGTGCCAAGACTAAACCGACGCAGGATTTTACTATGAAACGCTCTGATAGTCATAAGCTCAAGCAAAGTAGTAGCTTGTTGTCCTGAAGGCAACCTCCCAACAATCTCAGGCAAAACCCCTTTCTGGAGATTAGCAAAGTAGTTAGCTCTGTCTTCCACAGCATTGTTGAGACGGCTGAGAGTAGGCCAGGAGAAGTAAGGAGCATTGCTCTCAGCGTGCTGGACGTTGAATGTGAATGGATTAAGAGAAGAAGGGCTTGAAGAGGAAGGAAGACTCAAGTGGTTGCAGTGATGGTTCCTCTCCAAATCAGAAGCAGATTCATCTGATTGAGAAGAAGCTGCTTGAGTGAGTCTCTGACCCCAACAACCTCCTCCTAAAGTCATAGCTTTTTTAGCAATCTACTGAAGTAAAACAATACTCTGTGACAAAAGGAAGAAACAAAACTTCATCAATGCTTAGTAATATAATCAAAAATGGTATCTTTAAGCATATTAATAAGCAATAAACCCAAATCATGTTCTATGAACCCTAGAAGTGAAATTATATTCAAAGTTTCTAACTTTACAATCGGGAAGAAGTTAATACGCAAATCTAAACAAACCCAGAAGCTGAATCGTGCAAAAATAACAAAAATAAAATAATGATCTGAATCATACTCGATCCAGTGAAGGCGCGAAACTCACCGAGAGGACAGTTCGTGGGAGTATTCTCGAGAGCTTCATGGGGAGAAGGGAGGAGTAAGGGGAAGTTAGCAGGGATGAGAGAGAGGAAGCTGCTGCATTTAGAGGAGAGAGGAGGAGGAAGAAGAGGGAGAGAGATAGCAATGGCTGCATAATAATAATTTTTATTTTGTTACTGTTGATTGATGGTAGTTGTGGTGGTGTATACAGTAACATTACAATTATTTTTCCTTTTCTTATTTTGTCGACGCATGAATAATTATTATCTTATTATATTGTTGTGTGTACCAATCAAATCTTTTCCTTTGGTCAACACCAATCAAAAAAAACTTTTAAAAATTGATGTCCTTTTTACTTTTGTATTGTTTTTGCTATTATGTTATTATTAGTTTATTACTTTCTGTCTTTTAGTTTTGGAAAATAAAATTTAATGCGATTTTTTTCGTACATTTCAAAGAAAATCAATAAAAGTATCTTCTGTTTGTATAATTTATTCATTTTATTTTATATTTGATTCTAAATATTATTATAAATGATTATTTCTTTTAATTTTATTTTATTGTAAAATAGATATTATTTTTTAGAGGGAAAATCCCATGGAATTCTCTAAAGTAATGACTTCCACTTTAAACTTTCAAAGTTTATATTTCCATATTAAACCTCTAAAATTAATATCCATCCGTTTCATTTTAAATATCACTGTAAAATTTAAAATATGTTTCATTAGATGTTTATGTTTTATGTGCAAAAGTTTGATAGCTTTCCATTTTTATCTCCGTCTTTAATTTCATTAGTTAACAAAAACAAATAAAACATTGTAATAATTAGAAGTATGATAAAAATAATAATTCTTTAATAGGTGTGAAGAAACCTTAAACGATATATAAAACGAAACCAAAGAAATAAGATTCTTCATCAAGCCTTGTGTCTAAAGAGTCTCCTAGCAAATTATATGCTTCTTATAGCTTGCAAAGGTACACATATGCGCACACACAAAAACAAACTAAACTTTAATCCGTGCGGATGATTGGTTGATTTCATTTATATCTATTTAATTTGTTTTACGTCATTACTGGTATAAACGTTTAAACGTTAATCAGATATTTAAATGTTTCTGAAGAAATCAGAACTTTCTGAAGGGTATATAATTGTTTCAGAAGGATCCAGAATTGTTTACGAAGGGTTCGGAAAGAAATTTTTCTAAAGGGTTCAGAAATAATTTTTTCTAAGAGTATAAGAGAATTCTATAAATATATAATAAATTAACTATATATAAGATACTAAATCTTAAAAATATTCAGAATTAATGAGTAAATATTATTTCTAAGAGTATAATCGGTTGTTTGGATAATAAAGTTTATCTAGTCTCTAAATGTAATATATATAAAATTCATTAGTATATTTGTCTGAATAGTAATAATTAATATTATGTTTTCAATGTATTTACCAAATTTTAGATATTTCTATAACAAAGAATTCTATAATTTTTGGATTTTTTTTATATTAGTGATTCTAAAAGGAAAAAAATAAAACTAAAATTTCAAAACTTCTAAAATATGAAAAAATAGAAAAAAAAAAATCAATGTTTGTGTGTTAAAATTAACTGAAATAATAAAAATTTGATTATATTTGCTCTATATATATTTATAATAAATTTTGAGCAAACATTTAGGAAATTGCATAACAACTACAATAATGAAGATTTTCATGAAATTATGATCTCGAACAAAACTAATAAAAATAATATTAATATTAATTAGATGTATACAAGGATGAGATGTGAATGTCTTTTCATTAAACAAAAACAACAACAGAAAAGAAATCTAATTTCTAAAATAATACAATATCACAAAATATATTTGACAACAGAGGAAAATGTAAGAGATAATAATTAAACATCAAACGTTATACAAAATAAATATAATATCATGCGTGAAACACGGACCAATCCTCATATTATATAGAAAATATGTGTAAAATATAAGCAAAGTAGCAAAATATAAGCAAAAGTAGTCAAAATTATCATGTTATCTTTTTATGCACAGTTCCTCAGTCATGAAAGAAAAAGAAACATGGTTCTCTCTCTCATTGATAATGAAACTAAACACATGAAACATGAGTTCGACGGTTTAGTTCAAGGGAGGACCCCTGAATAAATATATATATTGGGTTAAAAATCAGTAAAATTGTCATTGGCGGGCTTCGAACCATGGTTTAAGGGGGCAAACATCATACTCACCATATCTGCTACTAGATTTTTAACAATATCCTGAGAAAAACAACATGTTATCATTTTTGTAGTGTCAAATGATCCCACTAACCATAATGTGGATTTGCCCCTGGTTTAGTTCCACTTTGAGTTTCTTGAGTCATTTTTATGGATGGACGATTCAGCCAACACAATTTATTCTGATCTGATCTTTGTTGTGTTGTGTCTCTGCAACATATGGATTACATCCTTGGAAAAACCCCAAAAATATGAGATACGCTGTTGGTTTTGGGGAGAGATATCCGACACATGCTCATCATCGTGGAACTTTAATTTCAAAGAACAAGAAGGAGAGTTACAAAGGAGAATGGAGATGGAAAGAGTCGAAAATGCATAATTCGAACATAATCAAGGAGCCATGGTTGTTGCAAGAGTCAAGGATGACGGGTTCCAAGATGTCCTAACAAACTCCAACTACACGGAGCCCACTCTAGTTTTTAATATAAAAATATTTATGTTATATTTTCAGTGTTGTAAAATTCAGTTTAGTTGTTCACATAATTGATAAATCATATTTAACAAAGATGTTTTTTTCCAAGTGACTTTTTAATAAGCCTAGACGAAAAAACGGTTTAACTTACATATAATTAATCAATAATCTCATATAAATAATTTAATTACTGTTTTAACGATTTTTGTGAAAAGTAGATATTTATTGAACATAAAAATTAATGAATAATACAATTTTATAAAAAAAATAAAAGTTAGACTTTTTATTTTGGAAAGTTAAATATTTTTTTAAGATATACATTAACCTAGTTGAGATTTTTAGATTTAGAGAATATTCTCTCACACCTTTTTGCAGTTAAAAAAAACCTACATCTCCCAAAGCCAAAACCAAAAACCAAAAACCAAAACATTCTTTTAGTGTGAACTTTGTTTATATATATGAACAGTGGAGAAGAAAGTTTTGAGACAAGAATGTATATTGTTTTGTTTCCAGTTTGAGTAATAGGCGACCTCCGTTCTCCCGCTCTTCCCAAACTCCCATCAGATTCTCCGCCCATCTTCTATTGTCCTTTCGTTTTTCCCCCCGGTAAGATCTGATTTTCTTTTGGTTTTGGTTGCATGACGTACCGTTTTTTTCTTATTCTTTAATCGCGTTTCCGTTAATCGGAGCAATGTAGTTAGAATTCAGAGATCTGGACTCGGTTTCTGTGAATTTACTGTATATATGAATCCTAGAAAAAAAAGGTTCATCTATTTTGTTCGTTGTTCATAAATCAATGTCATTTTGATTCGAGGTTTACTGTTAAAGTTTCGAGATTTCTCTGACATAAAGCTTGATAACATGAATCTGTCTGTTTTTTTCAGTGTTTAAGTGGTGTAATAACCATAAGTACTTTTTTTTGGATCAAAAACCATAAGTACTTTTGAACAAAAAAAAACCCATAAGTACTAGGCTTATGTTATTTTCTTCATATTCTTTGTATTACATGAGTAGGAATGGACAACAAGTCATCAAAACATGCTTTTGTCTGTCCTTTTTAGAGTTTAAATTGTGTAATAAACCATAAGTACTACTAGGCTTGTGTTGTTTTGTTTCATATATATATTTTCTTTGTTATTACATGAGTAGGAATGGAAAACAAGTCATCAAAACTTAGTTCTAAGAAGAAAGAAGCAGCACCAGAATTGGATAATGGTAGTTTTATTGATCCTCTGGGGCGCCGCAAGTCCAAGCGTTTTAAGGCTTCAGCGGTGAGAGACTTCCCACCTCATTGTGGACCAAGTTCCACTAGTCTCAGATCAAGTGAGGGAGCTGAACAAGTGAAAGATATGAATTTGGCGGAAGAAGATGAAAGTTTTACCAGGTCGGGTGGCTATCGAAGCGTTGGGGTAAAGCAGCTTGGTGGAAGAAAGATCATTGCAGTAAGAGACTTCCCTCCAAACACAGGGACCAAGTTTTCCGATTACGGAAAGACCGTGAAGGACGCTGTCTCCAAGAAAGAGTTAACATTGGATTCTGGTGACCATTCTTTCCAATCTCCTGCTAAAAGCATGTCGCCACATGTTTCGAAGCCGTTGGAATCTGTGAAATCAAAATTTACAATCCCTAAACCACATGAGATGGCAAGCAAGATGAAGAAAAGGGAAGGTGTTGTATTGCCTAAACCCTTGAGGCTTCTTCAGAAGATTAATGGAGATAACGGTGAAGGATCTAGTAGGAAGAAGCCTGCTGCGCTTCCTCCTTCGCGTCCTAGTGGCTCAAGCAGTGGAGATAGTGCTAGGGACAAAGTAATGGAAACTCTACGTCTCTTCAGTGAAGCTTGTAGAAAACTTATACGAGAGGAAGAAGCAAATCCTAGGCCAAAAAACGGTGTTCACTTCAATGTTTCTGTGGAGGCTTCGAAGATTGTCAAGAGCAAAGGCAAGTATCTTAACGTTGGTAACAAGATTATAGGAACTGTCCCTGGTGTTGAAGTAGGCGACGAGTTTCAGTACAGAATTGAGCTGAACTTTCTTGGTATACACAGAGCAGTTCAAGCTGGTATTGATTTTATTAGAGACGACAACAAGGAGCTACTTGCCACAAGTGTTGTAGCCTCTGGTGGCTACGATGACGACCTTGGTAACTCTGATATGTTGGTCTACACAGGCCAAGGTGGGAATCTATCTAAAAATCCACAAAAGGGGAATATAAATAATGAACCTAAAGACCAACAGCTCTTAAGGGGAAACCTCGCTTTGGCGAACAGTATAGATAAACAGAACCCTGTGAGGGTCATAAGAGGATACAAGAAGACACCTTCTGATAATAACAAAACCTACGTTTACGATGGGTTGTATCTTGTGGAAGAGTTTTGGAAAGAAGTGGGGGCTTATGGTAAGCTTGTCTTTAAGTATAGACTGAGACGTATTCCTGGACAGCCTGAGCTCACTTGGAAAGTGGTGAAGAAAGCTAAAGCGTCTAAAGTCAGGGAAGGTCTTTGCTGTGATGATATCTCAGGAGGGAAAGAGAAGTTACCTATATGCGCTGTGAATGAGATAGACGACGAGAAACCGCCTCAGTTTATCTACACTGTTAAAATGATATATCCTGATTGGTGTCAGCCGATTCCTCCAAAGGGATGTGGCTGCACAAAACGATGCAATGACTCAACAAACTGTGCTTGCGTTGCGAAAAACGGTGGAGAGTTACCTTACAATTATGATGGAGCCATTGTTTTTAGAAAGCCTATGGTCTATGAGTGTGGCCCACTCTGTAAATGCTCGCCTGATTGTTACCTCCGTGTCACACAGAGAGGGATCAAGATCCAGCTTGAGATCTTCAAAACCGAGAAAAGAGGCTGGGGAGTGAGGTCTCTTGAGTCTATTCCTTCGGGAAGCTTCATCTGTGAGTACACAGGAGAGCTTCTACAGGAAAACGAAGCTGATAGGCTTGCAGGTAAAGACGAGTATTTATTCGACATCGGCACAGAGAATGAGGGTAGCTTCTATGACAATAGTTTCTTTACCATAGACGCTGCAAGGAAAGGGAACGTTGGCAGGTTTATAAACCATAGCTGCTCTCCGAATCTGTACGCTCAAGACGTTTTGTACCACCATGAGGATATGAGAATCCCTCACGTGATGCTGTTTGCCAAGGACAATATACCTCCACTTAAGGAACTAACGTACTATTATAACTATAAGATTGGTCAGGTGCTGGACGCTGATGGTAATGTCAAGGAGAAAAAATGCTACTGTGGTTCGGCCAGGTGCAGTGGTAGACTCTACTGATAAGCTCCGATGTTGCTGCTTGGATTTATATTCTTCTTCTGCTTATTCTTTTATCTAATGTTCAGTGAATTAGTAATAGCATTATAGCCGTTGGTATTATTAGTCTTTCTCCTATAGTATATTGCTGTTTGTGACATTTCCTTGAAACTCACCATGAGCTAGTCTTTCCTAGTTTTTTTGTTTCTTCCATAAACTGCATTGTTTTTTTTCTAGTTTTTTGTGTTCTTCCATAAACTGCATTGTTTTTTTTTTGTCAACTAAACTCCATGAAAGCTAGGTTGTGTTTGGTTGTTTGTCACCTACGTCTACGAAGAGATTAGAGATGGCAATTGGGTTGTCTCGGACTGTGCTGCGGGCACCATTCTATAGGGGTCATGGTGGGCACCCATTGGGTGGAGGATCCCTCCCCGCAGTGGGTCTAGGCCAGGCCCGCTTGAAAACTACTTTTGAGACGAGTAAACTAATCTGTTTTCTGAAGTTAGGTTAATCCACAGATTTTCAATCATTTTGAGTGTGTCCACATTAACCATTTCAAAGTTAAAATGAATGTATTTTTTTCACTTAAGCCATAGCTAAAAGGAGACAAGCCCTGTTCGGACGGAAGACGCAGCGTCAGCTACGGCGTCAACACGGAAATAAATAGGGACAACGGCAGCAATCAGTGGCAAAACAAAACAGGGGTGAGAGAGAAAAGAGCCGCTAGCATTAAAAAGTCCACCGCACGTTCTTAAAGGATGACGCTATTACTTTCCAACGCCGACAAGTCGATTAAATCTGACGCTGCGTCTTCCGTCTTTATTTAACGCTGGGACTGAATAAGTTCAATTCAACGCTTTAATTTTGATGGTTGACGCTGGTCTCCGCATTTGCTCGCAGAACAAGGCTACAATCATCTCAGCGTGTAATGTTGAAAGACTTTTCCGACTATTATTAAACTTGCATTGTTGTGTATTTGCTAGTTTGCAACTATGTTTTGTGTGTGTCCAACATTTATCTAAAACCTAGAAATTCCAACATATATTGCCAAAAGAAAGCTTTGTATGAACAGAATCCATGACCTTGCAATCTAACTCAAAGCTTAATCATTTGCGTGAGGCAACAAAGATGTAGACCGCTGATCTAACTTAATTAAAGCTTAGATTTAGTTTTTAATTAAAGGCAGACTTTGCAATTTATCTTCAAGTGATCGTATAAGCTACTGCAAGACAACACAAGTTTTCGACTGAAAAACGACGCCGTTTCGGGTCCCACAAATTATCCGCGACGCAGTTTTTTTCAAATCTCTCTCTTGTTTCGTCGCCCTCTTGGAGCCAAACCAATGGCAACAAAAGAGCCCAGATAATTCCCACATAACAAAAAAAAAACTGTGTGCAGGGAGAAAGTGCGCTCGTGATTTTTTTTTAAAAATCGATTTTTAAGACATCCACAAAGGTTCTGTAATAATATATACCAAATTCGTTCCGACATCGAGATTCAAATGTTCTGTCCGAGCAAGTTAATTCAATTTGGAATCTTCTGCTGTCTCGCATTCCTGATCTAATTTGGTCGACATTTTGTTTTTGGTGGATCTGAAGAAAAAAGAGAGCCATTGTTGTCTTTTGTGTCTCTGGGTGATATATAAAGAGAGAGAGAGATGGATCCAATATCAGCTGTTAGCGAAGAGCTGGCTGAGATCGAAGGACAAATCAATGATCTTTTCCGCGCTTTATCGTGGGGACAGCTTTCCTCCATTTATTCGAATTTGTAAATTCCATTAATGATGATTCATTATTATATGTAATGTAATGTTTTTGGCGGGACCAGGAATGGATTCCAAAAGCTGGAGAAGATCAAAGATGCTAATAGGCAGAGTAGGCAACTCGAAGAACTCACTGACAAAATGCGTGACTGTAAGAGCCTTATTAAAGATTTCGATAGCGAAGTCAAAAGCTTGGAAAGTGGAAATGACGCCAGCACTAACCGGATGTTGAATGATAGACGACAATCTATGGTACCTTCCTTTTATTTCTTATCTTCACTTTATTCGTCTTAATTCTAGAGTGTCTTTATAATGTTGTTGTGACGTTTGTCTGCAGGTTAAGGAACTAAACTCTTATGTTGCTCTTAAGAAGAAGTACGTTCGGGTTTTTCTGTTTTCATGTTCAACATAATGTCTACGGTTACACTTTTTTTTGTTATTAGTTATTGGTGATTGATGATAGTGTGGATGATTATTTTATAGATATTCATCCAGTCTAGCTAGCAATAATAAGCGAGTTGATCTTTTTGATGGACCCGGTGAAGACAACATGGAAGAGAATGTCTTATTAGCTTCCAGTGAGGCTTCTCACTCTCGTCTTTGATTTATTCCACTTTTTTTTTTATAATCTAGTCCTTTGTCATTCTATGAATACATTTACCTACCTAGAGTACTTAATCGGAGTTTAATCACTTTTTCAGACATGTCCAATCAAGAACTCATGAACCAAGGAAACTCCATGATGGATGACACTGATCAAGCCATTGAGAGAGGCAAAAAGGTCACTCCTTTGCATTAACTTTCATTCATAGATGGAAAATCTCACTGCATTTATGTGGATTTGGCTACAGATTGTTCAGGAGACTATAAATGTGGGAACAGATACTTCTGCAGCTCTCAAGGCTCAGGTTTGTGCTTCTCTCTCTTGTTCTTTACAACATCCCTTGTTATGATGACACCTAAAGATAGTTTACCTTGTCACCAATGTTCAGACCGACCAAATGAGTAGAGTTGTCAACGAACTTGATTCTATTCATTTCTCACTCAAGAAGGCCTCCAAGCTCGTCAAGAAAATTGGTAGGCAGGTCAGTCTCCAGAATCCTCTTACTCCTTCTTGTTGGTTTTGGAGTTTGAGTTAAGCTGTCTTAATGATTTTCCTTTTAGCGTTAGATTAAGAGTTTGGTGTTTTTCCTTTTTAGTTAAAAGTCTAAGGTACTTTTCATTTTTAATTTAGGTTATGGTATTTTGTATTTGTAACCTATAAAATAGCTTCTTATGATTAATAAAGATTCAACTTCCAACAATTAACTTTAATCTCTAAAACAGTTTAGTGTAAAAGGAAACTTAGCTACTTCTCTTTCTCTCTTTTCACGTGTAAACACGGCGCCGGTTACGTATCATACAGTTCCTAATTGTCTGCAACTTCCACTTGTCCCTTTTTACTTACTCTATGCTCTTCTTCTTCTCTCAGGTAGCCACGGACAAATGTATTATGGCATTTCTTTGTCTTATTGTCATTGGTGTCATAGCAATCATCATCATTAAGGTACCTCTTAACTCCTTTCTTATCCATATATATCAACACACACAGATGCATGTTTGTTTGAGTATTTTAGATAGCTCTGTTTATCATTATCTTGTCATGTTCTTCCGTGGTTTTTGACCTGTCTAGAAATCATGTTAATCGAATAACCTTTAAAAATATAAATACCTCAAAATTTTCCTTTCTTGGGCTATTCAGTTAGGGAATGAAGTTTTCTCCTGTAGAGATGTCTCTTTAATACTCATATTTGCTATTCTTCCTCCCAATATGTTTTTTTACGGTGTTCACATTTTAATACTCGTAAACTCCTCTTCACTTTTGAATAGATTGTGAACCCAAACAACAAGGACATCCGCGACATACCAGGCCTAGCTCCACCAGCCATGAACAGACGTCTACTCTGGAACCATTACTGAAAACGTTTGGGCACGCTTCTTGCTACTGTAGATAAAACCGCCTCACTTGAGGAAATTAACCAGTTTTTTTTTTTTAATTCCCATGGCTCTTGGCTGCTGCGCATTTGACAAGTCTGAGGAATCAAATTCCCATTCGTGACACTCCCAGGATCAAAAGCCATCCATCGTTTTTTGTCATGTGTTTCAGTGTTTGTATCAGGATGACTCTTTCTGTGTTATCTCATATGTATGTGTATTTATTTTCTTAAGCGTAGTCTATGTTTTTACAGTCTACATCTAGTCGTTACGACATTAAAAAAAAATGCTACTTAAGCAATCAAAATATTGAATTTATCCAAATTTTGATTCATAATGTACAAATTTTCATTTAATCTTAACTCTTACAACATGCTTAGCATATTTTGGCATAACATACTTAAACTGCTTAGCATTCTGTGACTCTTTACATGGCTTCAATTTGATGATAAGGCACACGTATCTTTTTATTGTTTTTATAAACTTTGGATGTTTTTTTTTTGGAAAATATCAAGTTTGGAAGTTCCAGGCTCCATAACTTCTATGAAGTCATCTGCCACTAATACAATCACATTTTTGAAAGTAGAACCATCTCCAATGTATTATCCTATTTTCCCTCTAAAATAAGAAAATTTTATAATAGAGATAGACTTGTCTCCAATGTATTCTCCTATTTTTTCTTCTAAAAAAGAATATTATTCTTATATTTTTTAAAATGTTACAAATAATACCTTTCAACTATTATGTAAATAAAAAGTATGATTATATTATATAAACAATATATTTCATTAAAAATATTTATTTTTGGTTATAATTATTAAAATAAAAAAATAAATATTATTTTTGAAAATATATATTTCCTTTTTTTTGTGCACTAAAAAAATATATATTTCTATTATAGAGGAATGCTAGTTTTTCTTATAAATATAGAACTGAAAATAACAATCTTTATTTTAGAAAAAAGAAATAAAATAGAGATGCATGGAATGATTTTACTTCTAAAAATTATTATGGAAGTAAATATAAATATTATTATAGAAGTGAATATAGGAGAATGTGGGAGATGCTCTAAATTGTTTATATCTCAAAGTAGAAATTAATTAAGCCAATGATTTTTTAGAATACTCTCAAGAACTGACAATGTGTTGTTAGTAAGTGAAATGCAGAAGGGGTTACTTCGTTAAAAGCAAATGTTTCGATAAAGGCAAACAAAAACGTTTCACTAAACCAAAAGGTTAATGTTAAAGTAGAGTGGGGCTTATATAGTAAGTGGCTTAATCTCAAATAAAATAAAAATTCACTTTATAACCTCCGCCACTCTCTCTTTCTCTATAGCTTTCAGTCCAAACGAACGGTTGTGTTTCGAAGACACCAATCCATAAAGTTTCAGAGACGACAAAGCGTAGGAACACTCTCTCTCAATGGATTTGCGTTTCCACGAAGGAGGAGGAGGCAGCGTTTGGCAGAAATGCTCTAGACACCGTTTCGTCTGCGGTGGAGGCGGCGTTTGTCCTTACTGCCTCCACGAACGTCTCTCTTCACTCTGCCCTGACTGCGCACGCGATCTCCCATGTTCCTGTACCCCACGCGCCTCCCTCGACGTTGATGTTCCCTTTACTGATATCGGTTCCGTTGGCCGCGTCTCCAACCTGATTGATTGCGAACCGGCGTTTAGGAGATCGACATCAATATCTGTTCCGTTTCTCTGGTCTACTAAACCGGAACCTGTTGAGAACAAAACCGGGTTGGATCTCAAACCAGGTCGTGGTCGTTCGCTCTGGAGACTGTTTAGAGGAGAGAGTAAAAGCAATAAGACTGCTTCGATTATGAGGAAGTCGAGATCAGTCGCTGTCTCTGACGCCGGAGAACTACTATCTCCGGCGCCTGTGACGAGTAAGGGAAGTGGTTGGTACTTTCCAAGTCCGATCAAAGTTTTCCGACAATCAAAAGTCATGTTTCAACAACGATCTCCTTTGTACAGAGGTTGAACTCTAGCTTCTTCTTTTTTTAATCAGTTTGTGTCTTTTTTTTTTCTTTACTGCAAAAATGCTTTTAGTTTTGTTGATTAATTTTATAGATGGAACTTTGATGAATCTTCGTATCAGCAAACCAAAGCTCAAAACTCACTATTAAGATGCTAATATTGTCAACTGTTTATTTTCGTTAAGGATCATTGAACCAATTAAGTACTTGAAACATGTTTTCTAAACTACTACAAAGTACAAACACTTCAATTATCGAGTAAATAAAGTTTGATGGCTTTGTAGATATTTTTTTAAACTAAAAACGAGAAGCAGTAACATGGTTACATGAGCATGGAAGCCCTACCTAACACGTGAACGAAGCGCAGTCCCTATATTCTATTTGGAAAGAAACAAAAAAAGGGAAGAAGGAACGGGAAATAGGGGAACGTGAGAGGACATAGAAAAGAGAGCCCGACAAGGAGTGGCGACAAACATACGCACACGGTTGCACCATCTCTCTCCCATGTCATCATCACCCATTATTCGACTTTTTATTTTGTTTTCATAAGAAACCCCTCAACCTTTTTATTTCACCAATAGCTAGGGACTTCAAGATTTTAATATGTTAACTATACCATCTTACACAATCTTTGTCTATTGGATACAAATATTTTTTACATAATCTTTATTTGGTTCAATCTCTAACATCATCTCCAATAGAACACTATTTTCTCATATGTATTTTACACAAAAATAGAGTAACTCTATTATAAAATTTAAGTTACTCCAATAGTTCACTCCATAATAGAGTTATTTTATTATAGAGTGAATTATAGAGAAATTTTTATTTTTTATTTTACATATAGAATAAAAATCTAATATCCCTCTATATTTCATCATATAATAGAGTAACTCTATTATAGTGTGAACCATTTGAGTAAATTTAACACTATAATTTAGTTATTTTATTTTCGTGTAAAATATAGAAAAAAAAATAGTGTTTTGGAGATGTCCTAACCAACTTTGGAGTTCTTTTTTCTTGTGTTACTTGTTTTGGATTGGGCCATATACTGTAAGAAGTTTTTCAAGATTAAAAGCATGAACGAAAAAAAGAATTAGAAACAAATCTGAAAATATGATAACATATGAAACATTAGATTTGTTTTAAGAACTAATAATGAGTGATAAAAAAATACTTAAATGAATTATACGAACAAACAACAAAAACATGCTAATGTGTTGCTTTCATAGTGATTGTAGGAGTTTTGTTGACCATGAAATAGCAAAATCTAGAGTTAGTCGTAACTTAAGGCTTATATGCTGTTAAGATAAAAATAGGATGGCCATAAAAAGCATCTACTCATCATAAAAACTCTATTTTATCCACAAAAACGATTGAACACTAAAAATAAGCAAATCACGACCCAAAAAGGTCACATTTGTTTATTTCTTGTCAATCAAACAGCCACAACCCTAGACAGAAAGTTACCATTTGGGAATTGAGTTTTCTTTGTAACATCTCAAAGCCTGTACAATACAAGCAAATCAAAACCCAGTAGATAACAACAACCCTACAATTTTCTCTCATTCTTAGGTTAAATTCCTGTAGGAAGATGAGCCTGAACTGCCTCACTTGCCACACCCTGCAAAGATCAGACTCGGACATAGACATAGAAATCCTTAAAGATTCAAACATTACAGTACAAAATGTAACGTCAAAATATGAAAAGATGGCAAGGAATCGAACAATGTTGCCAGCGGTGAGACGGGTGAAAATGGGACATCGCAGGCTCTACAGCGCGGACGCCGTGGTCTATAGGGATCTTGACGAGCCCAAGTTGGCAAGAAGCAGTGGGCTTAGAAGAGATTGGAGCTTTGAGGATCTAAAGAAACAAAGAGATGAGATAAAAATTGGAGAGACAATAAAGGAATAAGTCAGATTATCTCCTATGCGTTTCTTCTCATGTTCTTGTTGTTGTTAACATGTACGTTCCTTTCAAAGTGTAAGGATAACTCGCCGCCCAATGTCAAGGTTCATATATGTACGTACATTCATTTCATAATAGATATTCTAGAAAAAAAATGACCTGAAATGATGAGAGTAATAAACCAACTCTCAGAGGTCTTCAGAATCATTTTCCTTCTTTGGTCCGATATTTGAATATATATATATACATACACAAAAAAGGAAATATCCAGAACTCATTGATGAAATGATCTAGATCTACAAACAATTTAGCAAGCCTATGAGGATTTTAATGATGTGATTGGATCTCTACTTGTCCATCTGAACAGATGGAGATTATTAGCTGGCATAATTTGGATAGATTTACGAAAAGAATTTGTTAATGATCAGATGGGGTGGTGGCGCAGTTGGCTAGCGCGTAGGTCTCATAGCTATTGAGTGATCCTGAGGTCGAGAGTTCGAGCCTCTCTCACCCCATTCTACTTTTCGCCTCTGAGCAAATTTTTTTTTTCTGTTCAGACAAAAAGTAATAGCGCAACTATTTTTTTAAGTTTCATCAGCTGGGGTAAAGATAGAGTTCTGATGGCTCTTGACATTCACACTTTGGAGGTTTTTTTCCTTCTGCTTAAATCTTCTCTTTGAGTTGATCTTTTATCGCTCTTATTCTTTAGAGTTTGGCACCATCCATGTTGGATCGTTTGTTTTTTTACACTAACTTATAGTTTTTGTTGAGTTCTCATCAAAAGTGTCGAACTAAATGTAGTTTTCAAGAAGTTAATGTTATCGATGGTTGGCTGCAAACATCTTCGAGATGTCGTTTTCAGAAGCAAATGATTTTGTTCAGTTTTGTTATAGATTATAATTCTCTAAACTAACTCGTTTTTAAATTGTAATCTTTTAGAATAAGAACTGTTTTATCATTAATGTGATTTTAGTTTTGATATGTTTTCTTTCGTAGAATAATGCATTTGGAAAAATCTCATTTTCGTTCGACTATATATTTTAGTTTGTATTTCATCATGTGGTTTGCAAATATTTCTTTGAACAAACCATATCTATACTATTAAAGCTGAAGTACAAAAAGTTAGTGTTTGGAAACATGAATAGGAATATTTAAAATTATGATGATTGGAAACAATGATAACCAACAAATCTAATGGGCTTGATCATTAAACTAAAAATTATTGCGGCCCAATGTACTATTATTATTGTTTTTGGGTTTTCTATCATGATATTACTTTATTTCTGAAAATTATTTATACATATATGTATTCATTTTAGTAATAGTTTATTTAGCCAAAAAAACTTTATAAACTATTGCTAAAATGTTTACGGGTCACAACATTTTACGACGCCCCTATTACACAATACAGTGACAAAATACAATGTTTAAATAATATACTAATACTTAGTAAAATTATAACCATTAAATTGTAATTTTGAAATGTTATATATACCATAAAAATAAAGACCCGCCCAGTCGGGCGGGTTATGATCTAGTTAATTTTAAATCTCAAAGTCTTTTCTAACAAAAAAAATTAAATCTCAAACTATTAAAAGAAAATTTGTTACAAGATAAAGAACTGTAGATAGCTCATAGATTTGTCATATCATATGCTAAGAAAACCACGATATTAATTAAAATGCAAATTATCCCTGAATAACTTAAAGGATCAAATAACAAATAAGATTCGATGAACATTAGTTGACTAATACTTGCATACAAGCTTTGAAATATCCACTATATATATAGATCACATTAATCACAACATATGCAACCAAAAGGGTTAGACACTCAACATAACAATGGCAGTAAAATCATAAAGTCGAAAAGAGTAACTTTGTAACAATAAGAAGAAAATCTCAAGTTTTGTCCACTATATATTTTTGTTTGTATATCATCATGATCATACCGTTAGTAATTTAATAAAAATGACAATAAAAAGATTAATTGCAAGAGTATATATGGTTTCCTTTTTTTAGTTTAGAAAAAAAATCTAAAGTAAAATATATATCAAGTTTTTTTGACTTTATATTTTTGTTTGCATATCATTATTATCATGCTGTTAATAATTTAATAAAAATGACAATAAAAAGAATAATTTCAAGAGCATATATGATTTCCTTTCTTGTTTAGAAAAAAATAACTATCTGATATATTTCCTTATTTAGTGAAATATATCTCAAGTTTTGTCGACTTTATAATTGTGTTTGTATATATTATCATGATCATACCGTTGATAATTTAATAAAAATGACAATAAAAAGAATAATTGCAAGAGCATATATGATTTCCTTTCTTAGTTTAGAAAAGAATAACAATCTGATATATTATCTCAAGTTTTGTTGACTTTATATTTTTGTTTGTATATATTATCATGATCATGCCGTTAATAATTTAATAAAAATGACAATAAAAATAATTGTAAGAGCATATATATATGGTTTCCTTTCTTAATTTAGAAAAAATATACTACTTGATATATTTCACAAATTAGAAAGATGTTTTCTTCAGCAACTGGGAGATGCTGAGTCTTGATGCAGTTTCAACGCCAATAAGGACTCAGGTTCAAATACCCCATGTGGCCACAGAATGCCTTACGTCCTCCCCAAGTTGAGTTAGGCGTCGCGTTAGTGCCATCGCGTCCCTTGGATAATGGGTATTGGTGCCGGCTGGCTCCGGGCCACATGATTAGTTGGTTGAGTTAAGCAAGGCGTTGGTGCCACCGCGTCCGTCTTCGAACCTCCTGTTAAAAAAAAAAAAACATGCTATATTTGCATGGTCAAAGCAACCTTTCTACTTCTGATATGTAAGCAAATTTCCCCTTCCTATTATATACCACCAATCCATCCATTTCCCATCATCAAACTCATTCCTTTATTTAACAAATAAACACTTGTGGAAATGTTACCAGGAAACGAGCGTGACGATCTAGACACGTCAGCTACAACGTCACTCCAGTCTGGCAAAACACGATTTTCTTATATAAAAATAAAAAGAAAAGCTTGAGACGACGATTGGGTCATCTCATTTCCTCTTCTTCCCTTTAATTTAGGGTTCATTTGAAATTCTCAGTTTCAGTTCAGAAGGAAATTGAAAAAGATCTGATTGAAATCAAGCTCTCTGCCCTTTTGGGTTTTATCCGATTCGAATTCTCAGGTGAAAGATATGAACTTTATTTCTTCTTCTTAACTGTTATCACTTTATTTCTTCGGCTTAGATCGAATTACTAATCGTGGGCTTTTGATTTAGGAGTGGATAAAGTAGCTCAGCTGCCAAAGATTTGGACTTTAGCTGATTTTTAAGGATAACTCTTTATAGAATAGTATTTGGTAGTGAGGTTGTGTTTTTAAGTGTGGAGATGGATAGGCCTCGTCAGAACGATCATTTGGGTGTGAATAAGACTGGGAAGAATATTAGAAAGAGTCCTTTGCACCAACCCAACTTTGCTGCCGCTGCCGCGGAGGGAAGGCCTCAAGGGCAGCCTCAGGTTTATAACATAAGCAAGAACGACTTTAGAAGTATTGTTCAGCAGTTGACTGGCTCTCCATCACGTGAAAGTCTTCCTCGTCCTCCTCAGAACAGCTCACCGAAGCCTCAGAACACGCGGTTGCAGAGGGTTAGACCTGCACCTTTGACGCAGATCAACCGGCCTGTGGTTCCTCTCCCTAGTAATATGGCTCCGCAACAACATCATCCTCAGGGATACGTTAGACCGCCTCCTCCACAAACGTATTTGCCACAAGGCACACAACAACAACAACAACAACAACAACAACAACAACAACAACAACAACAACAACCAGTGATGGGTCAAGGGGACCAGTTTTGGTCTAATGCAGTTGTGTCTCCCATCTCAGAGTATATGCGTTACCTTCAAAGTCCACTCGGAGATGCACGTCCTGGTGGTAACCAAATGCAGCCAGGACATGAACATCGCCCATATATGCCGCCGGGTCAAGAACATCGCCCATATATGCCAGCTCAACCTCAGCCTTATATGCCAGCTCAGGCTCAGCCTTATATGCCAGCTCAGGCTCAGGCACAGGCACAGCCACATATGATGCCTGGATCACAACCTCATATGAATATGCAGGGTCCACTACCACCACCCGGGTTAGTTCCAAGCCCAGTGCCTCGTAATCTTCCTTCAAGGCCTCAGTTCAGTGGTCCTGTACCTGTCACGCCCACTCTGCCCTCTCCGAGGTTTAATCAGATGTATGGTGGTTTTCCTTCTCCTCGGTATAATGGTTATGGACCACTAAACTCACCTACATCCCAGTTTGCTCCACAATCTCCTACTGGTTACCCGAACATGTTCTCTCCTAGATCACCATACCCATTGCTATCACCAGGAGTTCAGTATCCTCAACCACTTACCCCAAACTTCTCGTTTTCACAACTAGCTCAATCAGGAAGTCACGGACCCGGTGCAGGTTCAGGTCCTCCTCAGCCACCTCCATCTCCAGGGCTCATGTTCCCGTTATCTCCAGGGTTCTTCTCAGCCCCAAGTCCAAGATGGGGTAATTACTAGGTGCTCTGTATACTTAAATCTTATCATGTCTCTCTAGGTTAGTCTACTATGAAAGAAGCTTAATCTTCAGGACCTGCAGTGGAATAGACGCAGTAGCATAGATGTATGCTTTTATAGGCATTCTTTTACTTTGTTTTTGGGTCTTTACAGATTATATTTGTTTTGTTTATTACAGAATCTGTTGTTGTTTTCATAATTTGTACACAGGCTTTTGACAAAACTCTGTCAATTTATATGATCTTTGGCTGTTATTGAGGCAAATTTCTCTGTATTTTTAAATCGTAACATTATTCATTTGTTCTAGTAAAGAAAAAAGTAACCACTGACTAATGGATTTTAGAAAATTAGTAAAAAGAATTACTGGGATATAAACATTTTACCTCTCCACTTAACATTGGTTGTGCATTCTAGTCGACGATGAAACAAACAGTTAAGCTTAACTCAATTCACTATCCGCTTGTAACAATTAAAGCTTCACGTGACCCAAAAGAACCAGCAGCATTATCCATAACACCATAATAATATTCACCATTTACATTATTCAGACATAGTGAAGCAAATAACATTAGAAAAGGGTAATACGAATCATAATAGTTCAAAAGGAAAGATGTTTTAGCATAGAAGCCTCTTGAGAAATTGGAGTCTTAACGCATATTATCTCTTCGTCGGACATTCCTGGTTTTGTCATTGTACTTGGGTCGATCCGAGCTTCTATGAGTCGTTAACTCCACCATCCTCCTCTGTCTCTCCGGTGGACGCGGGACTACCTCTCCATTCACAAACAACTCGGCTACAATCGCAACAGAAACATTCACCAAAATACTTGATCAGAACCAAGTGAATAAAGTTCAAAATCTTTCATATTTAAGTAGCTTCGTAAACAAAGTTTAAATTTGAATGCTTTCTCTATGTGATCTACTCGATGAATTACACAAATCTTGATGGTTAACTTTTAACAACACAGGACGTGAAAGAAATGATCAATTGATGAATTTTACCTCCGTAATCTTTGTACTCTGGATCAACATAAGAGTCAGGAAGCACGAAAAGAACACCAGGAATCCCTAAAACACTCACAGCCAACGAAGACACGTCAATTACAAACTAATCTCACAAACAGTGACCAACTTGTCTGTTCGGAAAGAAAAAGAGATTACCTTCGAGTTTGTTTGATGTCTCCTCATCAATCTCACAACCAAACCCAAAATACCTCTCACAAGAAACATTGTAGATCTTCCTCTTAGCTTCTTCCTCACTAATAAAACCAATAAAGAGGGTGTGAATTGTAACTACAGAACATGAGAACTGTTTTGTCTGCATACAGGAAGAAGGAAAAAAAAAGCTTTACCTTCCGACAATTTTGGCAAGAGTCTGAACATAACAATCGATCATTTGCTGTCTACTCGCGTTTTCTCCGCCGGGCTTATCCATAACAATGAGCCAATGCTCGTAATCGCAGCCAGGGAACAACGGCGCCATCTCTGTAGGTGCTCGGTCGCTGAAACTGGATCCGGATTTAAGCGGCGAATACGATCCGCCGGACCTATCCATCCGGGTTCGGATCGTCGTCAGACGGGTCGAATCGGGGATGAATCCGATGGCATGGAACAGAGTGGGAGAGGATCGACGGGAAATGAGGGTAGAGTGAGAAGGAAGAGGAGAAGGAGAGATGGTTCTGGAGGTGGAGAAGAGACGAGTAGCGATTCGTGAGGCCGTGGAGCGGGAGAGGGTTTTCGCCATTTGAGACTGGTGAGCGTTGCTCAGTGACGCGATGGAGGAGACTAGGGTTTAAGGATTCGAGCGTATTTTTTCTAAAGTATTTTCTGATCGAGTGATAAAAATAGGAAGAGGATGAAACTAATTGGGCTTAAAGTTAAGTAATGGGCCTTGTAGTTTTAAATGGGCTTTTTGTGTTCGGTGATGGATCGATATGGTTGTATTCTATGTGATTTTGAGTAGTTTTTTTTTATAAAGTTGATCCGGTCAGGTCTTGGAAGAACTTAGAACATCCACATCAATGAACCCCCTCTTGGGGTTCATTGAATCATTATTTTATTATTAAAAATTTTCTGTTTTCTTTTCGATTTTTTTTTTAAAAAAAAAAACAAAAAAAAATCTAGACCAATCCCGAGCTCTCACGTGTTGAATCTCAGGAGAGAGGGGTTCACCAGGGTGAACTTTAGGAGAGAGGGGTTCATAAGTTTTTATTATTTTATTATTTTTTTTTCTTGATTTCCGTGTGAACTCCCCCCCATGAACTTTTAATGGGGATGCTCTTACATAGTGCTACAGAATATGTTAGTTACCACACCACTTGATCCAAATTCAAAATACCTTCTGACTATTAATTTAAATCTTGGAGAAAGCTATTTTTTCTTTAACTTTTGTTGTTTATTTTTTTTGTTCTCGGGTTCTAGTCAACCACTCGTGGCTTCAAAGTTCAAACAAACACTCTACATGCTAAGACATGAATTTCACAATTCATAATAACAAACAAACTTTCATCGCGCGTATGCAAACATGCAAAGAGACTAATTTGAAGACATGTTTCTTCAAAACATGAATTTCACGTTTCAAAATAACAAACAAACTTTCACCGAGTATGCAAAATTGCAAAGACTAATTTTTCATTTCGCCCAGTGGACAAAAGTCTACCACGATCAAAACCGAGAGATTAGAATGGGGTTGACTTTGGTTTCTTTTCACGATTAGCATATGTCTTCTTGACTCTTGAGTAAAAGCACCCAACTTAAAAAAAGGCCATGTGGTGGATACACTAGAGGAGTAGAGTTTGCATTCGTCTGTCGAGTTGTGCAGCTAAACTCTGCTCTGCAGAATCTGCATGGATGTGTCTTTATCCACGTGTATCCTCTGGATAGGTCAGCTAAACAGATTAAAATAAATAAAAATAATTATGACAGGGCAGTTTAGGAACATATTCTGATCCCGACCAGTGCTATCTCTACGTGGCAAACACTGGTTGGTTCTAGAGATATGCTACATCTACATCAAATACCTTCCTAGCCGCACGATAAAAATCCTACGGACAAGAATAAACCTTATCTCTCCAGTTTTAGATTTCTGTATAAATTCAAAGGGAAGAAGAACACAAATAAGCAGAGGCACAAGCATAGAAGTAGTGAAAAGGCAAATGAAGAAGTCCCGAGATCACAACTGAGATTATTACTTTTCCCCCAATATCTCAACGAAGCGACAATGGAGCTTCCGTTACTCTCTTACACCAACTCACCCTCGTTTTCTCGGACAGGCATATGCTCCTCTTCCTCTTCCTCCTTTTCAACTAGTATTAATGACTTCACGGAGATAAGAAGAAGCTTGAGAATGAGATTCAATGGTGGTGGAGATAATTCAAGAAGCGTTAAAGCTTCCGCTGAACGTAGCAGCGAAGGGATGGAGAAAACAGACAGCAACGGAGGAGGAGGAGGGAGACAATTCGCAGGTCCTGTCATGGAGGTTACTACACTTGATCGTGGCTTTGCTAACTCCACAACCGTTGATTTCCCGGTTTGGGATAAAATTGGTGCCGTGGTTAGACTTACTTACGGAATAGGTAAGTAGTTTTACTAAATGTACTTATGATCATTAGTAACTTTTGTTTTGGATCAAGATTTTTTTTAAAAAGTGTGTGTGTTTTTGTATTTATTAGGAATATATGGAGCAATGGCTGTAGCAGGAAGGGTCATATGTTCAGTGACTGGGATTGATTCATCTGGCGGGTTTGATCCTTCTCTTGATGCACTTCTTGCTGGACTTGGCTATGCAACACCACCTATCATGGCTCTTCTCTTCATTCTCGATGTGAGAGCATTACTTTTTATTCTTTTTTAATATTGTTTAGGATTGAGTTTTGTAACAAGTTTACGTTCTTTGTGATTTTTTAGGATGAAGTTGTGAAACTCTCACCTCATGCTCGAGCTATTAGAGACGTGGAAGATGAGGAACTCAGAAGCTTTTTCTTCGGAATGTCACCATGGCAGGTAAGCTTTTTTTCTCCTTGGTTTTCAAATCTTTTATTATTTGAGTCTTTGAGTTTTCGATTTCTGGTTATATTCTCCAGTTTATACTCATTGTGGCGGCCAGTTCAATAGGAGAAGAGCTCTTTTACCGCGTTGCTGTACAGGTAAATTTTCACTACACTTAGCCAAGTAAAATCCACTTTGATTGAATTTGTTGCTGATTAAATCTCTGATTCTCACAGGGAGCTCTCTCTGATATATTCTTGAAAGGGACACAATTAATGACAGATTCTAGAGGCATGGCATCTCTGGTAAATTAAAAACTATCCTCCAAAGTTTTTCTACATTTAGTTCTCTCATACATAATTTCTCACTGTTTTCATATATTGCTGCTATTGTTTTTACCTCTAGACCGGACTATTGCCTCCATTTGTCCCATTTGCTCAGGCATTTGCAGCTGTGATCACCGCCACTCTCACAGGCTCCCTCTACTTTCTTGCTGCTTCTCCAAAAGGTTTTTACTCCATCTCTTAATTTTCTTAGTTGCTTACTTGGTTCTCTCCTTTCTCATTCTCATTTTCATTTTCATTTTTCAGACCCGACATACATTGTTGCCCCGGTTCTAAGGTCACGCCGCGATGATTTCAAGAAGCTTTTGTCTGGTACTATCTCCTTCTCCCTTCTCTTTATCTTCTTTCTTCTTCTTATAATCATATTATTTCGAAATAAGATAGATAACTTGGAGAACAAGAAAATGTAAACCGGTTTAGTTAGCACACAACAACATTACACATCTAACTAACGCTATCATTGTTGTGAACAGCATGGTATGAGAAGAGACAGATGAAGAAGATTTACTCTCCTCTTCTCGAAGGACTCTTAGCTCTCTACCTCGGTATTGAATGGGTTCAGGTAAAATCTCCGGTTCGGTTTAGTACGCAATAATTCCTCTGTCTCCAGTTAATAATGTTTTCTTTTTTAAAAAAAAAATTTCCAGACGGACAATATTTTAGCACCGATGATGACGCATGGTATATACTCGGCGGTAGTATTAGGGAATGGGCTTTGGAAAATACATGATCAGCGTAGAAGGTTACGTCGGAGGATCGAACGGCTTAGATCGAAGACCGTTGATGAATGAACCGTTTTAAAAATCATCTATAGATTGTAACTGGTTGTGGGGTGGACTTGTGTGTACTCTTTTGGGTATGGGGTCGCATAGTAATTAGAGAAATTAGGTATCCATATAATATATACAGCTCCAGCATTATATACAGTAGAGAATTTGCATATATATGTATATATATATAAGGTTTTGTATTTGTTCCTAGTTGTGAGGTTAAAGAACAATAAAGATTGAGTCTCTTTTGACTCATGTCTGTTTGAGTGAAACTAAGGAACACAAGTTAACACATTCATTTCAATCACAATTCGAGAGCCCTTCGAGCTAGTGTCGCAGTTAGTCACCAACCTCTTCTAAGTTCTGCAATATGCCTATGTGATGCCTCTGTGCTTCTCTTATTCTCGAGTTGGGCTTCGACTTGGGCCTATGCTAAGACGAAACTATGAACCCTCTTGTCATTTTTTAGAGCATCTTTATTGTATGTTTCTTAAGGCGGGTTTCTTCGGAGTTAAAAACTAAGAAACAGTCTTTTATATTTCCCGAAGAAATCCGTCTTAATAAACTTGCAATAAAGATGCTCTTAGAGTATTCCAATATGCGTTTTTAGTCACGGAATATTTAGAGGAATAACATACAAACGTTCAAAAGGATTAAACTAAATAACGACTTCGACATCTTAATCATGTAATTTTTTGTCAACTGAGCTCTGTCTTCTTCTTAGTTAAATTAATATTCAGAAAACGACAAATGAAAGCCAGTAGTCGGTAGAATCATATGGAGGAGCAGACCTTATTATATTGGTCTACATTATTTTATTCTTTGAGGTTCAGACTCATATCATTCTAAAAACCAACTTCGCACGTAAGGAATATTTTTGGTGTTTTCTATTTTAAACAGAAAACTAGATTTTGAACCCGCACATCCGTGCGGGTATTTTTTCATTTTATAAAAATATAAC